TTTGTATGATCCCATTCTGATGACGCAAAAAGCTTTATTTTAACCCAAGTTTGTATTCCAACTTTCATGCAACAGCGATCAATAGCAATTATGGTATGACTATGTTTCTATTGCCAATGGCCTAATTTCTAGATGCATTACAATTTGGTTTATTACCAATCTGGGCTGAAAGGCTGAACGTATTACATCAACTATCTATATGCATCCCATAAATCATTGCACAGAGGGCCTCTATACTTTAAACAGTGCCCTTCAGTGAAGAAGAAATCAACATTCAAAGGTTGACTTGACAAATACCTGCACGCATCTGGTCCGTACAGGAAGGAGCAGCGCCAGAGCCAATCCATTTCCGCACAAGATTTGGGCCATATGTAGTCGTGGAGTTATTCCCGATGTAATGTTTTATGCAGCAGTTTGTTTGGAGGGTGACCTGAAAAAGACGTATATACAAAAACTTGAAAAACAAGAGGAAAAATGCAATACTTATACTCCTTTTTCAGGGATAGAAGTTGTTGCGTCGGAACAAATTGTTAATACCTCAACATCAACTGTGACATTGTGCTTGACAGTTAGGCTTGTATTGCATTTGACATAGGTTGAAGTCACATGGCGCAGAGCCTACAAAAGTATCATTATGGTCTGCAACTGTAGATCTCTGGGTGAAATCGAAAACAGTCTTCTACAGGGGCATCTGTGTTACATTTCTTTCTCTGAGAAAACATCCGCTATTTCTAAAAGTTCAGTATAGACTTCTTGAGGGGTACATATGAGCGTACTTTGAAGTGCAATGTTTTACTATATTGCTGGCTTTGATGAAGTGCACTACTAGTACGTGGGAACAAGCAAGGCTGGTTCTTTATGAAATAAGGTGTCGGGAGTTAATGAATCGCAGACGAGGGACTGAGGGAGAGAATTGAGGGAGTAGATTTTTTAAATAACAGAAATGTTGCCAAATTTTTCAGAAGTGGTGCAGGATTTGTAACTACATCCACATGGTCGTGGTCAAAACCTGCACACAATGGAGATCTCAAAAGACAAGAAGAGATGTCCTTGAAAGTAGCCAAAAAGAGAAAAATATTGTATGCCCAAAATATGACTATTGTCTTTCATTGATGTACAAGAAATCAAGACATATTTAATCAATCAATTTGAAAATCTTTGACAGCATGCATTACAAAATTACTGCAAAAAATAAATGAGAAACAGAAAAGAAAAAAAACAATTATAATCCTCTCCTTATAACATGGAAGTGTGCCCTCAGGAGCAGGTCCAAAACATTTATTATGATTCTAAGATTATTAACATTTGCAAGGGACTTTCCAAAATAAGAACCCTATTATAGCAATAAAGAAGCAGACATGGCAACTTTGCTATTAAGTAGCACTTTGAGTAGAACCTAAATCCATGGTAATTAGGGCACTGACTACTTGTTTCTTCCGAGGAAATATAAGTGCTTTGAAGGAGGACAAGGAACCACAGATGCATTCAGATAGTCCAGTTTGGTCCAGTATGAAGACATTTAAGAGCGAGGGCCAACTGTTTTCTTTCATCAAAACCAAATGTTGTATGTCCCAGATGACAGAGCATTGCACAAGTTTAAGTTTCAGACAAATCAGACCACAACACGCATTGTTCAACTTATTCGAGAACATAGTATTTTTTGCAAACTTCTAGAAGAGCCTTAAGAATCCCTAGTGGATGCTTTGTGCTGAAAGCTGATTTTCCGAGTGTGGCTTGTCTTCTCTTTTTCACCTTTTTCACTGAAAAAGCTGATCTAAACATATGCCAGAGGCCAACAACAAGTGATAAAACCAATTGTATTACAGAGTTCATTATCTATGATTTCAAAGTTAGGTACCCCAGTTTTAAGGAGCTGGGATTGAACTGCTAACATGTAGATTCTACAGTCTTCAGTAGAAAGAACAAACATCCCACAAATCTTAGCAGAGGAGCTTGGGGCCTCACAGGAACGTGAGACAGGAGTTCAATGGAGGACAAAAAGGCTATCAGTAATAACAGAGATACCAAAAACAAACCCATCTACATCTGACCTGTCTCTCCACCTTTATGAGTGGCTTTAAGACACTAGACTTTTACTCACAAGAGGCTACACTTTGGCCACATTCAAATAGTTGGTTCACTAGAGAAAACAAAATGCTTCACAGAATCAGTTTCAGACGATGTACTTGACTAGTGGACACACCGTGGTTTTGAATAACGTTAAAACAATTTAAACCATTAGGCCTTCTGCACAGGTGCAAATATGATAATTTTATTCCAATTATAAATCAGATCTTATTATGCAGCAGCTTCAGCCAGTCTCCTCAAACACTACCCTTTTGGATGTTCAATATATTTGCTGTAGTTAGAACAACAATACAACATATTTTTTTACAATGTTTCTAGATAATTTCAAACATATAGTTTCTCTCTGGTCTTTTTCATTCTCTGGTCTTCACTACGTCCTCATTAATTTCTCTCTCTCTCGTTACTTTCTGGTCTCTTTCTTGTCTTTCTCTGGTCCCCGCACATATCCACTATTTATTTTTCTATCTAGTCTCTCTATTGTCTCTCTCTGGTCTCCCTCTGGTCTGTCTCTTGTCTCTCTCTAGTCTTTCTCTGGTGTCTATCTGGTCTTTCTCATCTTTCTCTTGTCTCTCTATGACATCTCTCTTATTGTTTCTCTCTAGTCTCAATCTGGTCTCTCTCTTGTCTCTCTCTCTTGTCTCTATCTGGTCTCTTTCTTGTCTCTCTCTGGTCTCTAGTTTTTCTCTGGTAATCGCACATATACACTATATGTATTTTCTCTTTCTTGTCTCTATCTGGCCTCTCTCTTGTCTCACTCTGGTCTCTGTCTTGTCTCACTCTGGTCTCTTTCTTGTCACTCTGGTCTCTCTCACTGGTCTCTTTCTTGTCTCACTCTGGTCTCTCTCACTGGTCTCTCTCACTGGTCTCTTTCTTGTCTCACTCTGGTCTCTCTCACTGGTGTCTTTCTTGTCTCACTCTGGTCTCTCTCACTGTTGTCTTTCTTGCCTCACTCTGGTCTCTCTCTTGTCTCACTCTGGTCTCTCTCACCGGTGTCTTTCTTGTCTCACTCTGGTCTCTCTCACTGTTGTCTTTCTTGCCTCACTCTGGTCTCTCTCTTGTCTCACTCTGGTCTCTCTCACCGGTGTCTTTCTTGTCTCACTCTGGTCTCTCTCACTGGTGTCTTTCTTGTCTCACTCTGGTCTCTCTCTGGCTCTCTCTTGTCTCACTCTGGTCTCTCTCACCGGTGTCTTTCTTGTCTCACTCTGGTCTCTCTCACTGGTGTCTTTCTTGTCTCACTCTGGTCTCTCTGGCCTCTCTCTTGTCTCACTCTGGTCTCTCTCACTGGTGTCTTTCTTGTCTCACTCTGGTCTCTCTCCTCTCTCTTGTCTCACTCTGTCTCTCTCGCTGGTCTCTCTCTTGTCTCTATCTGGCCTCTCTATTGTCTCATTCTGGTCTCTTTCTTGTCTCACTCTGGTCTTTCTCTGGTCATCGCACATCTACACTATATGTATTTCTCTTTCTGGTCTCTCTCTCTCTTGTCTCTCACTCTGGTCTCTCACTCTGGTCTCTCTCTCTCTTGTCTCTCACTCTGGTCTCTCCCTCTCTTGTCTCTCACTCTGGTCTCTCTCTCTGGTCTCTCTCTCTTGTCTCTCACTCTGGTCTCTCTCTCTCTTGTCTCTCACTCTGGTCTCTCTCTCTCTTGTCTCTCACTCTGGTCTCTCTCTCTCTTGTCTCTCACTCTGGTCTCTCTCTCTCTTGTCTCTCACTCTGGTCTCTCTCTCTCTTGTCTCTCACTCTGGTCTCTCTCTCTTGTCTCACTCTGGTCTCTTTCTTGTCTCACTCTGGTCTCTCTCACTGGTCTCTTTCTTGTCTCACTCTGGTCTCTCTCACTGGTGTCTTTCTTGTCTCACTCTGGTCTCTCTCACTGTTGTCTTTCTTGCCTCACTCTGGTCTCTCTCTTGTCTCACTCTGGTCTCTCTCGCTGGTGTCTTTCTTGTCTCTCTCTTGTCTCTATCTGGCCTCTCTATTGTCTCATTCTGGTCTCTTTCTTGTCTCACTCTGGTCTTTCTCTGGTCATCGCACATCTACACTATATGTATTTCTCTTTCTGGTCTCTCTCTCTCTTGTCTCTCACTCTGGTCTCTCACTCTGGTCTCTCTCTCTCTGGTCTCTCTCTCTCTTGTCTCTCACTCTGGTCTCTCTCTCTTGTCTCTCACTCTGGTCTCTCTCTCTTGTCTCTCACTCTGGTCTCTCACTCTGGTCTCTCTCTCTCTGGTCTCTCTCTCTCTTGTCTCTCACTCTGGTCTCTCACTCTGGTCTCTCTCTCTCTCTGGTCTCTCTCTCTCTTGTCTCTCACTCTGGTCTCTCTCTCTCTTGTCTCTCACTCTGGTCTCTCTCTCTCTTGTCTCTCACTCTGGTCTCTCTCTCTCTTGTCTCACTCTGGTCTCTCTCTCTCTTGTCTCTCACTCTGGTCTCTCTCTCTCTTGTCTCTCACTCTGGTCCTCTCTCTCTTGTCTCTCACTCTGGTCCGTCTCTCTCTTGTCTCTCACTCTGGTCTCTCTCTCTCTTGTCTCTCACTCTGGTCTCTCTCTCTCTCTCTTCTCTCACTCTGGTCTCTCTCTCTCTTGTCTCTCACTCTGGTCTCTCTCTCTCTTGTCTCTCACTCTGGTCTATTGTCTCTCTCTCTGATCCCCCTTCTGACCTTAGCACACACACTATACTCTCCTCATTCTCTCTCCCCTGCTCTGTTATGTACACAAACCACCAACCCGCTATAACACAGACATTACAGCATGCTTTCCCGCGAGGCTAGCTAACAGAGCAGTAAGCTAGGGGGCACTTGGAGCGGTCCCTTTGTCCGTGCTCCTGGCCCCGCTGTACGCATGCATGAGCCCCCGGTGGGTGGATAAGTGGAGTCACATGGGCCACTTTTCCCTTTTTCCCACACAAACACACCCACATCCTCCTCCACCATGCTGCTCCAGCCTCTCTCTCTCTCGGCTCTCCTCTGCAAACGCCGAAGCGCGGAGACCTGTGTCCACTGTACTCGCCATATCTTTCAACAATGTGACTTCGAAAACAAGGACAAACTCTCTCGCGATTGGATCCTTTTACCTGGGTTTTAAGAAGTTTGCTTTACTTTGATTAATCTGAGAAAGTAGAGTTCACATCGTGTTTGGATTAAGACTGCAAGACCAAAAAAAAACAGGAGAAAAAAGTGCGTTTGGAGGTAAATGATTAGTGTGTTGTTGTTTTTGGCGGCTTTCAAGGCGAGTCTGAAATCTCAAATGTCTCAAGTTGCAAGTAAAGATTTATTCAAGTAAAGTTTATTTAGGCGAGTTATTATGTACATAGCCGTAGTTTTCTTCTGAAATTATTCGACGTGTTTGCAGCAAGGTGCAGGTTTGGAAAGTTTCAGGTCTGATATATTTATGCATGACTTTAGGCCTATACATAGAACGTATATATGGGCATATACAGTCTATGACACATCACAACAGATATCTGCGTCCAGTATTGTGAAATTTGGGGTACTTTGTTCATTTATCAATAGTACTGTTGAAGTTGAAGTAGTAGTGGTAATTGTAGTAGTAGTAGTAATAGTAGTAGTAGTAGTAGTAGTAATAGTACCAGTAATAGCAGTAGTAGTAGTAGTAGTAGTAATAGTACCAGTAATAGCAGTAGTAGTAGTAGTATTAGTAATAGCAGTAGTAGTGTTTGTCTTAAGAGTCTTGCAAAAGTAAAATGCTACACATCAGACTACATCATTATTTTTAACATATAATCTTTTTGCATACTTGTATGAAAGAGCCCTGCAAGTCACAGTTTGACGCTTTGAGCTGATTGGCTGAGTGAGGGTGGTGCTCTCTTTTTCACATTTCTGTCTGAAAAACCTGATCTAGAAATGTGACAGAGGTCAAAATATACATGCATGGATGGATTTTATGACATAGTTCCAGTATTTGTGGTTTGAAAGTTTACTACTCCAGCTTTAAAGTTGTTTGCACCACCACCACCCCCACTGTCTCCTCCACAGGTAGAATTCAAACAGGCTTTTTTGAATGAGGTCTGTCTTTGTTTACGTCTCTTGTTAAACTCTTGCTGTTTCTTGGCTGTTGTGGGAAAATGGGGAGGTTTTCTCACACTGTGTGATGTAAATTGGCAGCAGGGAACATAATGTTAAAATGTGTGCTTATTTCATCAAATAAGGGAGGCAACATGGGGAGTACTGTCTGTGAATGTGCTGCAGTCTCATACATTTTTATATAGTTAAGGAGTAGATTGTTTTTATTGGTTTTTATTCATGGACCATAGTTTTATCTCACCATGTATACGCAAACGACTACATATCCCTGTTCATTTATCTGAAAAACTAACAATTCTGACTCTAGGTCATACAGACAGGTGGTCAATAATCCTGGTTCAGTAATTAAAGCTTGGGTACTACAAATAATATAAACTACGTCATAAATTACTAGTTCCTGTCTCAAAAAAAAGTTTGGTTCTCTTAATAGTTTTCACACACATGTATTTACTTGTTCTGACTAAAAAAATTAAACAAATGGACTTGCTCAGCGCCCAAAGCGTCACATAGTGGCTCGCAGTCCTCCTTCTTACAAGTATGCACAGCCTACACAGCATGGTCTGATTTGTTCACAAAATGTTACTTTATAAAAACTCTTTCTTTATGTTGGGACATGTAAAATGTCAGTTATGCTGTTTTTAAGGTGTTACTTGTGTAACACAAATTAGTAATTAATTTGAGGTGTAAATATAAGTATATTTACTCCTTGTTGTTATGGAATTTTTTTGTATTTGTGTTTCCTACTGTATGTTTCCTACTTGACCATAATAGTAGTTATTATAACAATTTTACATGGGTATTGTCAAGTTTTTCTAGACTCTTGAGTCAAAGTTTCTTTTCCTTACTTGAAATAGATCAAGTTTCAAGATCCAGTTTATTTGCCATTTGCAGTAAACCAGATTGGAATAACAGTGCAAGACTACCCCATTGTGCACCAGGCAGATAGTACAGGCCTGAGCCCATGCAACAAATGTCATCAGTTGTCTTATTAATACCACCTATGACTTTGTTCTCCATATAAAAAGTAATATTTATGAAACAAAACAAGTGAGGTAGATAAGCTGTTTTAAATTAATATTGCAGCCTATATAAAATCTATAATCTCATAAGTGAAGTACCTGTAACTACTCTAAATTCCAAAAAAAGCATAAACTATAGAGATTATTTGAACATGAATACAACTGCCAGCATTTGTGCCTCCTGCCTACACTCCAACTCCAGCCATATGCAGATAAAAAGCAGCATCAATCATAACATTATTCAGTTTCGCCTTTGTCTCCATCCCTGTAATTACATGAGTCACGCCATCTTTTCTGTTAGAATCATACACTTTGGTTTGACTGACAGAATACAAAATAACCCATGATGTTTTCCCGCTTTTGTGCAGATTTCACAGGACTTCTTCTTCCATCCTCAGTGACAGTTTCTTGGCAGCATGAGTCTGGTGGATGTAAGACCGTCGGCCGCCCATCTGACCCTCCCCCTGTCCAGCTCGGCGGACCGGCTTGATGACGACGAGCTTCGCGGCAGGGCCATGTCCCCAGACTTGAGGCAGGACTTCAGTATGATGGAGCAAAAGAAGCGGGTCACACAGATTCTCCGGAGTCCAGTATGTAGCCTGCAGCTCCTCACAGCAAGCCTCCCACACATGAGCTCTCACCATCTATGAGTAATAGCATTGCTTTTAAGCCAAGACTTACAACTCAGAGAAATGCCTTTAGATAGCATTTGCTCCTTTTTCTTTCAAGGCCATTAGAGCTAGAGGCGTTTTACAGAAAAAGAGTCTGTATGCAGCTTTAAAATGGTACTCGAACCGCTTTATACAGGTTGGATGGACTGGAGGACATTAAAATATTTGAGTATGTTTGTGTGTACGTGTTAATAAATAGTAATGTAAGTGTGGAGAAGAGTGAGCACTATCCCACAGTTAATGTGTGTGGTACCTAATTAAAACCACACCAATTAACTTGCTAATAAAAATCCTAGTTCCTTGCTCTCAAAACTATTTGTTTCTATCAATAGTTTTCACATGCATGTATTTTGGGCTCAGCTTTTTAGAGATAAAAAGAAAGTACAAGCCCTCACTCAGACATTCATCTCTCAGTATGTAGAAGATTTAAGATAAAGACTGTATATGTTAGGGTCTGATTTGTTCACAGCAGATTACTTACATAATATTCTTGTGTTTATGAAACCAAAAACTTCCAGGATTCCAACGTTTCAGCACTAAAGCATTTTTAATTACAATAATACCCATCATCTTCAATGCATGTGTGAAACGTAATAATCAAGCTGCCAGTCAAATCTATCATTCTGAGGTGAGCCAGGAGAAGAGATGCAGAGCGTGTTACCACTTATAAATGGATTTTCTGAGCCGTCAGAGAGTTCATTTGTACACGCTGCAAAAGAAATGGATTACATTTGTTGTTACTGATTTTAGGTAGACTTTCTTGGTGGTATGTAGAGATTAACAGATTAACGGGTGACAAAAGAGGAGTAATATTTGGAAATACCACACGATTATAGTATAGTAAGAATTTAGTTCAAACGTATTGCAAAAGTAAACCATATAAACAATAAACGAGATACAAAATAAACAGAAACAGTCTGAAAAAGAGGCTGGACGAAGAAAGTGAAACAAAAGATCAGATATGTACAGTATGCTGTATGTATGCTTCCAAACTAGTGTACTGTGTATTACTGTAAGAGCTTTGCACCAATGAAGAGTATGGAGATGAGTCGAGCCCACACTCATCTGACGGTTGCATAACAGGCCCAACAAGTGGAACTTCATCTCCATGGGAACCGCGCTGCAAGGAAGCAGAAGGCTTGAGCTTGGCCGCGGCGCAAAAAATAGTTCTTTATATTGTAACCCACAGACACAATTCACCGCTTAATGTGGAGAGCATAAAGTGAGAGTCAGGCGGTATTCAATCTTCAGTTTTAATTCGGATCTTTCACACGTAGCCAAAGAAGTTTCATGAGTCCAAACTAAGTGATTTGTGTACACTTGCAATAAACTCCTTGAAAGTTTTAGTGGCGAGAAGTTGTGGCTGTTTCCGCGGGGTGCTAGGATGAGTGGTCGTTGTTGTGCCAGCTTCTGTATTGCAGGTGTTAAATCTTTTCTCGCATTTGTTTGTTGTCAGGTGTTTAAAGACGAACTCGAAGGCCTCATCCAAGACCAGTTCACAAAAGGCAACACCCCGACCGGTCTCCTGGCTCTGAGGCAGATCGCCGACCTGGTCATGGCGAGCACGGTGGGAGGAGCGGGCCCTTTGACCTCCCCCATCAGTGAGTGTCTGTGTGTATGTGCGATTGTATTGATATGCACTGTCTTTTTATGTGTGAATCATAAGAAAAACTTATTTAATTTTAAATTTATTTCAACAATTACATAAGTATATACAAAAAATAAATGTATGAAAGCTGGGGTACCTGACATTCAAACCACAAAAATGGATATGTAATTGCCCTTTGGTTCTTTTGATCTAGTTTTTACATACTTGTGTTTTTGATTGATACCCAGAGCTAATGTAATACTTTTCAATGTAAAATCAAAAAGAGATCATTTAAGGCAAAAGCTTTAAACAAAAGTTGTGCTAAAAATGTAAAGAATATATATTTTCATTTGTATGGAGATTTTCTTCTTATAATAGTATCATATTATTTGAAATGTTCCCAGGTTTTTTTCTTTTGATTTTGTTTTAATATTTTGACTTCAACTAGAATTACTATTCACTAAATTAATTATAAATGCATCAATAGTGTTGTATTTTTGTTAAAATGGGGCAGAGAGGTAGATAAGGGACTAGAAGTCATTATTTTTTACTGAATCATATCGTATTGTTTTGAAATATGATATCGAATTGTATCAAATTGAATACAGATGCATATTGGCAGGTTCTGAAAGACACTCAGCCATTAAAGCTCTTGAAATATCAACAACAGCAATGAAATAAACTCATATCTACAGATGCGTGGAAGTATAGTCACTCTCTGCTCTGGAGAGCAGTTTCAGTGACAGACTAACTCACCCTCGCTGTGTGAAGGAGAGGTTCCGTAGGTCTTTCCTTCCTGCTGCTGTCAGACTGTACAATGAGAACTGCTGAGCCTGTACATTTCATTCATCTGTAAATAATTAAATTCTTAAATCATGTGCAATGTGCAATACTGCAACTTCAGAATGTCACTTCACCTACAGTATCTACCTATTATCCTGCACTATATGTATAGTATATAACTCACATGCATCCATAAAAACAAAACAAATTAAATAGATAATTCTGAAAGTTGCGAACAAATAGTATTCAAATTATTCCCCATATTGCGTGTGTCTGTGTTTAGTATCCACAGTGAACACTGTCTTTGTCACTGGCAAAATGCTCAGACTCTTGTGACTGGAAATCACCGACCAAACTTACTGATAATCCTTCATTGTCAATACTCTCATTTAGCCGGCCTCATGACCAAGCGTGGTTATTAATTCCTGCTGTTCTCTGTGGCCCATTATGTGGCTGCACGCCTTATGTCTGAGGGAGGTCACAAGCTGCTCCGAGCTGCAATCATCAATTTTGAATCCCAAAAAAAATAAACTAAGACAATAGGACGTAGTCATTTTTCACATCATTCTAGAATATTACAATCATTAGGAAATGGGTTCACAAATATTAGTGATCGACTGGAATTCTGGTTAGGATTTAACTGTTAACTAATGATTTGTGTTTGTTCAAGGTGAGAGAAAAAAAGATAGAAAAAAGTAAATAACAAAAACAGAGATATACAAATAAAAAGCAGCTGTGTGTGTGTGTGTATTATATGTGTGGGTGTGTAGTCTATGAACTGCTGTTGGCTTGCATTTGGTGTGTATGTGTACCAATGTATGTTGGTTTATTTTCTCATTCCAAGGTAGACTTCTTGGATTTTTTAAAAACCAAATAATTTTGCTTGTCCAATTGGAAAATCTTGTTTTAAGGCATTCAAAATGTGCTCAATGAGAGCATTTTCTAACTTTTTGCAGTGTATCCATAGATGTTGTACAATGAGCCCTTTCAAACAAATATAAAATATATAAAATAAATAAAGAGAAAATATATTTTTTTAAATGTATGTTTTGTGAATGAACCCATCAATCACAATGACATAAAACACAAACCAAACCTACCATTGATTTCCAACATGGCCTCCACAAACTAATGTTTTCAGCACATAAATGCAGCCAGTCCAAACAGAAAACACTGGAAAAGTTTAAATACTTTAAATACTCAGATTGTGTAAAAGTACTTATATGGTATAGCACTCCCAAAATTACCCTTTCTTTCTTGTAAATTCTTGGTGGAAAAAAGCCATTTTTAAACTCCAGCTGCAGTGACTCAAGCTCCCTGTGATGTTTTCAGACTTTGTTACTTACACAACCCTATAGATCCTGTAAAAATAGACATGTCTGCGCGTAGTATGTAACCTCTGTCTTTGTGTGCGGTCTCAGGTTTAGGCATGGTGACCCCCATCAATGACTTGTTTGGCACGGAGTCGGCGTCGTTTGCAAAGGGGGAGAAACTGAACCGCTGCAGGCTGGCCAGTCTATACCGGCTTGTTGACCTCTTCAGCTGGGCTCGGTTTACAAGCTGCTATATTACAGTAAGTGAGGCAACCACAGCCATGCCCCAGTCCATCTCACACTGTATGTTAAAGATTTGTTTTGAACAGGGACGCAGGTTCATCAAAAATATATATAATTTATGTGCCAAGCTGTCGGGATTGTGAATATGAATGCGTTTCCCAGAGCAACAATTCACAGCAGTGCAATATGCAATGAGCACCTGAGATGTGATGTCAAAATGTAAAATGAGGGTCGTCCCCAAAGACCGAGCCGAGAAAGTCTGTAATATCAAACCACATGCTGATTTTCCAAGTGAAAGTTGTTCCTCTGAGGCTCTGTCTTCTGTACCCTTGAATAGGTGAAGTGCTTGAACAGGCTTTAGGAGCTTGCTAACTTTTAGTCTGAGAGAATTTGCAGTTAAGCAGTATAGTTTTGACCTCTAAAGTAGCTGATGATGGCTATATTTATGAGCAGAAGTCAAGACTAGGGATGGGAAAGGAACTGGTAAAATAATGGCCATGACCATATATAAAACCATGACATGTCACGTTGGGAAAAGGAAATGAGCCCAAAGTGCAGAACTACAAAACAATAATGGCTTTGATGAAAAGTAAAACAAAACAAAATCTAGAGTAAACAGAAAAAGTAACCAAACAAAGATAGAACAGGGAGTGAAAGAACACACAGAGTTTAACGAGACACCGGTGGGCGGGGCAGGTAATCAAGAAACAGGAAGTACACCTAAAGAAGACACAGCTGTTAAAAAATTACAAAATAAATCTAAACCATAAAATGACCAATAGGTAGTAAACATTTCAAATTGGTTACATTCATGCTTCTGAAACTACATTTAAAGAAGTTTTGGGAATAACTAGTTACTTTTGTAACAGTATACGTTCATTTTGAAGTAAAAAAAGGGAAAGTTGGTAATATGTTACTAGTTGCAATCAAAGTCATTCAAACAAAGATGATCATTATGGCTGCTTTGTCTTGTGGGGAACAAAATAAAGAGTGTTCCACAGCGGAAGTATTCTAATATTCAGTATCAATATCAAGATATGCATCATATCGGCAGGCTCTCAAAGATACCCAGCCCCATTCTGGACCAAAACACAAAAGTTACATTTTAGTAACTTGCACTTCACAAAAGTTACATTTTAGTAACTTACCCTTAACAAAAGTTACATGTTAGTAACTTACCCCACACAAAAGTTACATGTTAGTAACTTACCCCACACAAATGTTTCTATGTTAATCTTGTTCTACAAATATATGATTTTTTCCCCAGTAGATATTGTATACTATATTAACATATTGGTAACATTTTAGTAATTTAGCCAACACTGTTAATGTGTTACTAGAAGTTTTTATTTATTACGAGGATAGAGTAGAACGTCTTAAACCTCCTTCTACAAAAACTGCTCCATGTGAAAATAAAGAAAAGATGAATCCAAATAGTTTCATTATTATGACCGATCAAGTCACGAGAATCACCCGCTTGTTCTATGCAACATTCTGACTCTCTTTCCCATTACAAATACATCTGTTGTTTTGAATTGTGCTCTTCTCCTGTGGATCGGTTGCGCTTCACTGACTTGTTGTTTTTATCTTAAAGCTGCGTGTGAGTAAAGAACAAGACCACGTCCTCATCAGCCCGCGGGGGTTGTCGTTCGCCGAAGTCACGTCAGCAAATTTGGTGAGTGCAATGTTTTGCTAATCCTCAGACATGTTTTTCTCACGTGCATTGATCTGATCTGTCTGAGTTGTTTCATTAGTTTGCTTTGTTTCGATTTGTCTTTCATTTAACAAGCTCTTTTAAAGCCCGAGTACCTAACTTTTTAAAGACAAGAATAATACACTTTGTTTGCTCCAAGCTGAAAGACTTGAGTTGTACAATTTAGAGAAGACATCAGATCAATCATTATAGACAACAATTTTACCAGTAAGAAAGACTCTATTTGGTGCTTGGAGCTGATTGGCTGAGTGAGGGTGGTCTTCTCTTTTTGAACCAAACTGTTGTGAGAACTGAGTCGGAATAATGTATGAAATAAAACAATTAAAATGAATAAAAACAATAAAATACCAACTAAATGGACCCCGCTCCCATCTCAATGTGGAGTGAGAGACAAATGCCCAAAAATAACAATTGTAAACCACTTTGTTACTCTGGTCTGTGAAAGGCGGTATAAAAATAAAGATTACTTACTTACTAACTTATATATGCATAAATAAAAGTACAAATAAAAACAATAAAATATTCAAGAATTTTAAAGTTCAAGTTTGTTGCCTCATCTTTAATGTGTTTGTTTTTAATTTCTGCAATCATTACTCATACACATTTGGCACACTGTGGAAAATATGACTTGATTATATTTATATAATAATTCAATGTGGGGAAGCTGGCTCGAGTGTCAAAGTGAGACGGCAGAACTCGTATTTAAATTCGTAAATCAAAAGATTCATTTGAAGAGCAACAAACGGTCCTGTCTCCTTTCACATTGTGGTCTCGTACACAGGATACAAAATTGTTGACTAGGACACGCCCTTTTTTACAGGTATAAAATAGGATAAAAACAAAGTGGCATTAAAAAGGGACATTCAAAAGGAGCTACTATCAAACATACAATTAAATCTATTATACCATAAGAGCCCCCCCACAGACAGTTGTCCAAACAGCCTGTAATCTGTAATAGATTCTATAATGTCTTTGACTACGTCGGAGGAAGATTGAGTGTTTTTCTGTCAGAGCTTACTTACAAAGATTATGACGAGTGGCAACGGTTCAATCGGTACGACTTCTGTGAGGGAAAAAGTTAAACAAAAATGGTGCAGCCTGGGGCACAGTCTCATATTCTTTATTCTTTATTATATCCTGCATGAGCGGCATTGTTGTGAGGAAGCACAACAACAGGATGAAATATCATTGTTTATTTTTAAAGTATTTGAAGTAAATTGCTGTTTCACAGGTGAAAGTGAACATTGTCGGGGACGTAGTGGATCAAGGTTCCACAGATCTCTCTATTGACCACTTTGGCTTCGGCCCTCACGCTGCCATCTACTCCATGCGTCCTGATGTGAGATGCATTATCCACCTGCACACCCCTGCCACGGCTGCGGTAAGTGCCCCTAAGCTAACACTAAAGGGGATTTGTCTATTACCGCAAAGCTGCAAACTAAATCATGATCTGAGATGGGACAAAAATAGTAATCAGGTTGTTAAGAAAGCTCGTCAGCGTCTCTTCTTTTTGTGGAAACGTAGAGAATTTGCCACAACATAAAGATTCTTCTTGTTGGTTCTGTGACTGTGTTGTTTGGTAACATCACTGGCAAAGAAAGGAGAGCTCTAAACAAAGATCTGAGCTGCCTGTTCTGAAGGCTCTTTTTGAATCCATACTCTTGAATTGAGCTCTCAAAATAATCCATGACTCTTCTGATCTCCCTGGAAAGGTCGTACATATTAAATTTCATACTACGGTCTGGAGGTGCTTCATTGTGCTCCGTTTACAGGTGGGAAGAGTTAACTCCTTTTTGCAGATTGAAACGATTGGATCTGAGTTTACCGTGACGTATGTAATGCGCCTGAGTGAGTCGTTACCATTTAACATTTAGCCTAGCCATCTCCTTAGCTGCAAACGGACCCCGTGGGGAGTAGCACCACAATCTTTGCCAGCAATTACATTTGCTAAACATTCCTCTTGCTCCTGCTTCAATTTCTTGATAGAACCAGACCAGATTCCTTTACTATCGCATTCTTCGCCATTGCCAAACTACAACCTGCCTGTTCGACGCAAACTCTCTACGTCACCCACATCTAACTACAACATCCGCCTCCCGCGCTCGCTGATTGGACGGATGGAATTCAACTGATCGTAATTGCTAACACAGGGACCAGACCCAGACGTTACATGCAGAGAAATGATGATTGAGCGAAGTGTACGGATGGCTACGGCCAGGCTAGGTTAGCGATGTTATTACCTTGAATTCCACTAAGAAGACTAGATGAATCTACCTAAACTAGGTCATGCTCCAGCTTCTTCCCTGTGGCAGAAGATATCGTTCGCTGAGAGGCAGGACATCTTAATATGCTATTCTTTCCACAAGCAGTTATCAGTTTGAACAAAAAACTTTAATGATTTTGCACTTGTATTGAAATTTTTTGTGTTGATTGGTTTCACAATTGTTTCTTGTAGTTTTTAGCTTGTTTTATATTACATACTTATCTGGTTTACCCCAGGTGTACTTTTGCATATGTTATTCCAAAGGGATTTTACTGCAAATGACCAATAATATGATTCTGAAATCCCAAATGCCATACTTTTTGTTGTGGCATACACCCTGCCATTGTGGAGTAAGGCATTGTTTGAACGTCATTCATCAAAAAGTCTGGTAATGTAAATGTTTCTGCATCACAGTCGGTTGTTTTTATCTCTTGCTAACAGGTGTCCTCGATGAAATGTGGAATCCTGCCCATTTCCCAGGAGGCTTTGCTTCTGGGAGACGTGAGCTGTTTTGGTTACCATGGAAGCCTGGATAATAAAGAGGAGAAGGTGGAGTTTCAGAAAGCTCTGGGCCGTACTGCCAAGGTACTGTCATAGCCACAGACTCCTTTGGTTGTGCTGTCACATGGGGTAATGAGTAAAGACGTATCATTATTGTGGCGGGTAAAAAAGAGGAAGCAGATAAATGAGTGCATTCCCCAAATCTGCCTGGGGATTATGGTGCTGCGTTTGTGCGTGAACTTTAAAGACACTGATTTGATCGGTCTGTGATTGAAAAGAAAATCTGTTCTGAATGGAATGTGTTATTCTCAGGTGATGATTTTGAGGAATCATGGACTGCTTGCTTTGGGGGAAACCGTGGAGGAAGCCTTCCACTACATGTACCACTGTCAGCAGGCCTGCGAAGTCCAGGTCCGTCTTTATCCACATTTTATTATTGTGAAATTCTGTCATCTGCTCAATTATTTTCAATTGCTGAATTTAATTGTGTTTTCCAATAGTGTTTTCAGAGATTTTATCCGCCTCACATAGTTAAAGTGCAAATGAACAATACAAAACAATGTAATAATAATAATGATAATGCTAGGATTATACAGCGCTTTTTGGACACACTGAAGACGCTTCACATGTCATTATTCATTCACTTCATACACTGTGGTGATGAATTACTACTGTAGCCACAGCTGCCCTGGGGCACACTGACAGAAGCGAGCCAACCACCACCAACCATTCACACACACACAGACTCATTCCAGGCAATGTAGGTGAAGTGTCTTGCCTAAGGACACAGCGACAGTTTGGCACTTTACAGCCTCAGCCGCCCCACTGTGGCACCTGGTGTTCCCAGAGGTCTCCCATCACAGTCCTGACCAGACCCTGTCCTGCTTAGCTGAGAGGTCAGACAGGATTTAGCTTGCACATGCAGGTGGTGCCACAATTATTTATCACAATATTTATTTTTGTTGCAATACAATTAATAAATACAATTAATTGATTTATGATAATTATTGCAAATGTATATCATAGAATTGTTTTATTTAAACGTTCTTAATAGAAATGCATAAAGATTTAATTTCTTTGCTGTTAAATGAAGGTGCTCCAAGTGCTGCTCTCTCTCAGCTCCTGCCACTCTTATGACATTCTTATCTTTTTAATATCAAACCAGCTGTGTGAGCACTGTGTCCTGTTTTATCTCGGTATTGAAACAAGTTTGTTATCTGAGGCTGATGAAAACTAGCCGTGAGCTCATTCCAGTTTATTTACAGAAGTAGATGTTCATTAACCCTTTCGGTTTGTTTTTCAGCAACTTAATATGAAACAGACAAAAGGCGAGAGAGAAGACTGAAATAAATCCAAGACAAAATGTAGGGAAATGTCTGACGGAAGCAGAGGCAAGGCAGGTGTAGAAAGTGCTGGATTGTGGCGCTGAAAGGGTTAAGACGATAGACTGTAAATAAGTGATAATTCTATTGACTCCCTTTGTACTACAGCTACACAAATGCCAACTTTGAAACAGTTCAGCTTCATGTCACAGTATTCTGAATGTGCTCTGTGTTTGTTGACTCAGGTGAGTGCTTTGGCGTGCGCTGGTGGAGTGGAGAACCTTGTGGTCCTGGACAGAGCCAAGTTCAAGGGCCTGACTCAGGGCGTGGCAGCGGCTGGGGCGATGGTGGACAATGAGGCCAAGTGGAAAGTGGGAGAAGCGGAGTTTGAGTCCCTGATGAGGATGCTGGACAACCTGGTGAGTGAACCCCAACCTCTGCCCCACGCTGTCATGAGACATTTCCCGTCTTTGGGGTTTCCTCAGGAAGTATCAAATGGCTTTTTTCTTGTACACATTCACTTGTAAATGACATGATTGGATTTAGCCTTACATCAGACATATCTCCAACTGTACGTTTCAATGGTAGTCAATAAAGCCTTGCAGTATTTTGGTCTGGCCGTCCTCACTGTCCTAGCCACACTGCTAATGAGCACCATTTGACATGTTGTGTGGAAATACAAGATGTCAGAACAAGTCAGTTTGAGTGAGCTACTATCTTAACAACTGTGGTTGGAGTGGGCTGCAGCTGTGCAAGCTCTGTGTGATCACAGCCCTCCTGCCCTCCCCCCAATCATAGCTTCCAGATGGTAGCGCCTGCTGTGGGCAGCAGAGACCACACAATCTCTGTGTGAGAGCACCACTACACTCAATTCAAGAAGAGGCTTTGGCGTGCCCATAATGACTCCCTACCTTACAAAAGGCAAGTGCTAGTGCACTGGTCACCAGTGCTTAGTCTTTCATGCTCAAATATGTGCTGGGGTTTCCAAACAATGGTCGCATTAAACACAGACCACAGAAAATCTCTAATTCTCCTTGTTTTTACTTTTGCATTGCATAACATCAGAGAATTTGTTCTGGTATGAAGATGGAAAGTAGAGCATAGGAAATAATTGCACAGACAGTGAGTGTGGTCTAAATGTGAGTAGATATGAAATATACAGACGTACTGGTCCATGTAATGAATAGGTTTGTGGAAGCATCCAGGGTATCACCTGTCAGAACACAGTATGTGATGGTGATGCTGCAGAGAACGCTCTGCTCATGCTGCTCCCATCAGTAGTTTTCAAGCTGCTTCCTTTTGTCTTTGATGTATTGTTAACAGTACTCTACTTTTAAATCAAAGTTTGAAAGTTATCCCTTGCCTAACTTGCCTTGTCTGTGGAAATCCTGCTTGTATATACAGCTTTTAAATATTTACTACTATTGTGTAAGTGCATTCTGGGTGGGCTGTACATGTCTACATTTAAATGGTATCTTTTTACTGTGGGTTTATTAGTTTTAACTTGTTGGTGAGATGTTCCTAAACAACTTTCAGGAAGTTTTTCTTTTCCTTGTCTGAGTTTGTTGATAAAGTCTAACATTTATTTTCTCTGTGCGGTCGCCTAGGGATACAGGACGGGCTACTCTTACAGAAACCCCATTGTTCGTGAGAAGCCACGGTCAAAGAATGATGTGGAGATCCCTGCCACGGTATCTGCTCTCCCATCGGACGACGACGACATGTGTCTACGCAGTCCACTCAAGTTTATTGCGCAAAAGCAGCAGAGAGAAAGGACACGCTGGCTCACCTCACCTCACAGCTACTTAAGAGTGGACGTCCCAGAGCACTCGCCCTACGGAGACGTCAGCCCCAGAACCAGGACTATGGTCAGTCACATCTACATTCAGCTAATTTCATGGTCTTTAAAGCTTTAAATTTGACAAAAAGGCAGTCATTTTTGGGAGATTGTGGAGTTACATATTCCTTGTTTATTGTCATTTACTTATTCTATTCGAATACAGTCTGTAGTTCACCATAAATGATCTCATGACAATGGAAGCAACCTTTCAATTCAATCGTTTTTGTATAGCCCTAAATCACAACAGCAGTCGTCTTGGAGGACTTGATTCATCTACAGCAAATCAGAAAATCAAACTGTTTGAAGAGACAGATTATCATTAGTCATTAGTCCATAGTGGCCATTGTTTATAAATGTTAATAATTGTCCTTAAATGTTCTGGATCCTTAGACCATTATGCATTGGGAAGGAATGACTCAAAAAAGTCATTCCTGAGAATGTGAGAAACTTTTTCCCACATTGAGACAGGGATCTGCTCTCACGGATGGACAGGCTGTAGATCCAGTGCTGAAGAATGAGGACTTGTCTTCCTCTCTGACTGTTTCTATCCAATTCAGGCCTTTAGCTGACAATAGAAACATGTGGATATAATGTAAAGGTTCATTATGAAAATAAAAACCCAATTTTCAAGCCCTAGAAATAACTTTGAAAGGATTTTAATATAATAAGAAGGCTGTATATTATTGCAGAAATATGAGCCATGTAATGATCGCAGGTCAGGGAATCAAACGATCCCAACACTGCATTATTAAAAAGCTCTTAAATTGAACTTGACTAAACTTGGATCTAACTAAATCCATGTTGAAGTTTGGAGCAGCTTTTTCCCAATATTTGCCTGCCCTCTTGTGGAATTTGTTAGGAATGCAACTGACATGGCTCTCCCCCACCTTTCCTCCAGTGGATGAAGTCTGCAGAGCCAGGAAATAACCTCGGCATCCCAATCAAGATCGAAGACCCGAACCAGTTTGTCCCGTTGAATACTGATCCCACAGAGGTCATGAACAAGAGGAACAGGGTCAGTGGACAGTTTTCATTCAATTGTCCTCATTTCCTGTACTTTGTCTGTGGTTTTTTTGTGTTGACATTTGAAAGGTTTACTCCTATCATTCTCTTCAATTGATATTTATGTATTCTAGATCACATCAGTTTGTATTGTTTAGTTTAAATGCTTATGATAAAAAGTGAGAACAAAGCAACAACACCAAGTATGAATGAATCAATACTTTATATCGAGCCATGGCGAACATGAACAACAAACAACAACAAAAGAGAAAAAGAAACAATCCATGATAATATACAAATATACAGTATGATTTATTTTATCAACAAAAAATCCAGCTCAAAAATAAATGGGAAGCATTGGCCTTTGGAACTGAAGGTTGTGGGTTCAACTCCCACTGATGTCTGCTGTCATTGTGTTCTTGGGCAAGACATTTAACCCCACTTTGCCTGAAGCTCCTGCTGAAAGATCACGGCTCCTGTGGACTCACCACCTGCAGGAGGATCAGTGAGGGGCTGGTGCAGCTCTGACTGCCACCCCCCGACCCAGAAATGGATTAAGGGGAAGAAAATGGATGGAAATTGTGTGGTTGCTACGGTATATGAGCTTACACCATATTTATACAAGTGCATAACATTACAACTGTTTACTTACTGTACATGAGTTTAGTTTTACTTTAGTTTAGTATTACATTGGGTGATAGTTTATTGTCCTTTCATCATTTCTAAACATGACTGTGTCACATTATGAGGTTTGAATTTGACCTCAATGTCTTCAGATCAAAGAGCAGCACAGAGGTTACCTGATGACCGCCGGACCCAAGTCTCAGCTGCTGGCCGACATCGTGGTGGATACAATACCAGGACCAGTGAGTAGAGAACACATAATTTTGTAATTGTTTGGTATTGAGAGGATTCTGATCTGGGCCATGTTTGGAATATAGGCTTTCATTTACGAGGATGAAGAACAGGTCCGCTCCCTGCCTCCAAACCCCTTCAACACGGTCACAGAGAAGGTGCTGGAGGAGTACAAGAGTCTTGTGGAGAAGAGGAAGCTGGGTCAAGAAGGTACTTTCACTTTCAGTTCAATATTAATGTTTTGATCCTATTGTTGTCAGACAAGGCACCCATTAAAAGGCCTTGACTATTCCTACACATTTCCTTCCACACAGCTAGCAAGATTGTAAATGCGTATTTAAAGATGGGGATTCATTTTTTACATACTAAATTCAGTTTAAGGTTAGGAGAGTTTGAAGTTGAAGTTTGATATAAAAAGATGGCTGCACCAGATTAAGCACAATGCTACTTTCCACCTGTAGTCCTTGACAATACAATCATATATAGATATTAATATACTGTTCAATAAGAGAAAGATTAAAGGTGTATAGGAGGAAGAACAGCCCTCTCCACTTTTTGAAAAACGCTCTCTCTGCTTCCAAGAGGGAACGCTGTCAGCATGGTATGATTTTGTGAACAAATTCATTCAAAATCATTCAACAACATCTTGTATTTTGCATACTTGTAAGAAAGAGCGTCACTATTTGACCCTTTGGGCTGAGAGCTGATTGGCTGAGTGAGTTTTTTCACTCCTTTGTCTGAAAAAGCTGATCTAAAGATGGACCAAAACATGTGTGTGAAAACTGTTTAAGTGGCTTGATAGTTAGGTGCCCAAGCTTTAACCAAAAATTGACAACTGTTATTTTGAAGTAGTGGTTTTAACAAATGCCTGCTGTGTTTGGAAACGTCGTACAGATGATGACAACGCCACAGACGCAGACGAAATGACCACGTTCGACGGCTCGACCATCTCCCTCTCTCTCTCTCCTCTCATGACTCCAGTTAAAGGTAAAATATCACACTTTCTTTTGTAGCTGTAATGTCGACAACTTTGACAATGTTTTTTTGACACGTTCAAATGGATCGCAGATATCATTCTGAACGGGAAGGATCACTTCTCGGATCCGGACGAAGATCTCAGTATCGAAGTGTCCAAACTGAGCATGAGCACGTCCGAAAGCATGGACCTCTCCATCACCACGAAGGACAAAAGCGGAGAGGCCCAGACGCCCGAGAGCCAGACCAAATCCAAGAAGAAGAAGAAGGGGTTTCGCACTCCTTCCTTCCTCAAAAAGAGCAAGAAGGAAAAGAAGGACAAAGAGAAGGATGTGGAGAAGGTGGAATCATGAGGACTTTGTGGAAAACTTTAAATGGATTTAGTTGGCAGCTTCCTTCAATAATACACAACACAGATATAACAAAGGAAGCAAATCTATATCAATAATATTCAATTCATGTAACGGTCTTTAAAGGAGATATATTATGCAACGTCGACTTATAACCATTCATTATTCCCTCATCAAATACAGACCTGTGTTTGTTTTTAGAGCCATCCACGCTGCTATCAGACGCCACAGGCACAAAGGTGTAGCTCCGCCCCTTGTGTCTATAAGCTCCCGTCTCAGTCCTGTGATTCTATGATGTCATTGTACCACTATGACATCACACTCTTTCTCACTGACTTTTAAAAAACAAAAGTACATACATGAGTTTTGGTCAATTCTGAAATTCTTTTATTTTCAATTGCATGGCTGTGTTTGAAAAAATATAAAAAATTCTACCCTCTGGTGGTAACAAAGGGAGTTACAGGCAGAAAGCATTTTATTTAGCATTCATACTTGTTTCGGTGTATACTTTCGACTTAAGATTATTTCACATTCTAAAAATATGAAATGACTAAATAAGTGTCAGTCAGTCGATCAACCTTTATTTTAGAGCGTTTTTCCCTAAATTATACAGTAAATATTGCTTCACAGCCCATATCATATAAGGTATACATTGTCAAATACGCATTAAAATTACCCAGGGCATTAAAAACAAACAATAAGATCACATGGAATATTAAAAACAAAAAATCACATTTGAAAACATTTGTCATTGTTCATAGTAAAAAATAATGCATAATATTTCTTCTTTAAAATGTACTAGTTTTGTATCTATTGTAAATCTAAAGAAAGTTCCCATTTGCAGATGATTTGGACATATTGGGCTTTTCTTACCGTTTGCACAAGTAATTTTATGAATGTAATCTCAAAGCAAGAGGAAATGGTTCAGTTTAAACACCCTTGGCTTATAGAACTATTCTGCAACAAACTATTCCAAGTATTTATTACTTTTACCATAATATAACAGTATAGGATGGGATTTAACACTAGTGTTTAGTGAATTGACATATTTACTGTTCTCTACGTTATGTGACTTTAATAATAATAATAGCATTTCCTTTATGTCCGGGCAGTGTTGTTGTGTGGCTGCTGCTTTTTTGAGTAACTCTGATTGTGGGTCGAAAAGAGCTGATTGTGAAACATTGAGCTGCCAGAGAATGAGCTGGATTCATAGAAAGTTGTGCTAATCGTGCACTGATTCCTCTTTTGCTGATTTGTAAAACATTTAGGGGACCATCTTTATTTTATCCCTCTCGATAATGTGAATCGTTGTTTGTTTGACCCAAAGGGAGTGAAATCTTTATACGCAGGTAAATGTGAAGGCTTATTTTTGTATCACTAAAACCAAAAGTGGACGCAGTACAATTGTGACAGTACAATCTCCATGTATTTACTCACAAACGTGTCTTTCACTTTTGTATTTCGCTTGATAAATGTTATTTACGGAACATATAGTATACAGAGCACATGTTTACAAAGCGTACGGGCTGCAGTGTGTTAGTTCAGTGCCTGCTTCTACCTTCTATTGTGTACATTGCTCTTGCCTAACGTTCTTTTATCTTTAGTTGTGGTTGCCTTAAAAGTACACATCTTCCTGTGTAACAATAAATATTGATTTTCTTTAACTGCTTTTCTTATGTCCATTGCTGTCATAGCTACATATAGTTGGGGTTGGATTAATGTAATGTATAATGGATATTTTATAACACTTTCCGCTTTAACCACAGTTGCTTCAAAAGTGTTTCAAAATATCCATAATATTACACTGCTTGGTACACATTAAGACGTCAAACATTACTTTGAAATTACTACATATTAAAACATAGTCACAAAATACTTGATGCTAACAGTTTAAACAAGCAAAGGAAAGCCCACAGACTTCTGCTGCATCATGACCACCTCACAGACCAGCGGAGATGTTTCTGTTATCGCTTTCATAAGACGACAATAAATTAAAACCTATTTGCAAAGTAGTGTAATTCAGATACTTTCTTGTAACTGAAGTAATGCATCTTAACAGTAATGAGTAACATGTTCTTACAAAGTTCCTTCTGAGCTTTTTCAGGTAGAATGAAAACAGGACATGCAATTTACACGATATTGTAACTAAATAACATTCTCATAAAAGGTTCTGAAATACTTGGATCTTGTGCATTTTTGTGCAATGTCTGTATTTTAAACTCAGCGGCTACATGTCCCACAAAGAGTTAGACTTCAGTATGAGGAAGGTGAGTTTGAATAAAGAATAAAAATGGATTTAGAAACCCAACATTAGAAATTATCACTATGAAAAGTAGATGCATTTTGGATATTTTGAGTTAGGCCAAAGAGTATAGAAATGCCAAGAGGTGAAGCTCAATCAAAGCGTATAGAAGTTCACTTTTGAATCCACTCCTGTTGAGCCTGCCATAGAGTGCATATGTACATTATTATATTCCACAGAGGCTCAACTTGTGCTTTTATTTGTCCCTCTCTGTGTTAGCACTCACTTAATAAGCACAGAGCAGTGTGAGTAAAGTCTGCCTCCAGCGCTGTAGCATTGTGTACTCAGCTTTAGAGCAGACGAGCAGAGCGTCTAAAACAATCCTCCCGTTCAACCCCGGATAATAAGGCTGTGCCATGATATGAATGCCCGTTGTCATGGTAATGCACCGAGTGGGGCTGGCCACACAATGAGGAGATTTGGTGTCTCCAACAGGTGTTCAGGATGGGGGAGTGTCAGCACAACGGCCCACACCTACACCCCCCCAGGCCCTTCAGAGGCACACTTCAGAGAGCGCCTCTGGGTGTGACTGCTTCAAAGGGGAACCATATGGGCTTATGCTGGACTTGTTGTCACATGGTATAAGCACAGCAGGTGGTCTATATGTCTTTTTATGAGTACTTTTTGTTTTGTTATAAACTACCAGAATGATGAAATTCTTCTTGACAATTACATTTTTCTTCAAAACGTATGAAAAATATGCTAACCACATGCTGATTTGTTTAAACAAATATGTCAAGTGCCAGTTTGAAAACAAAAAGCGGAAGTTTAAAGGTATTTTTCCTCACCTGTTCTAGGGCAGTTATCTATACTTCAATGATTTCTAAATGAAATGTTGAAAAAGGAAATAATTTGATCATTATTTGATAGTGATTCATTCAATGTAAAAAGTACTGTTGAAGGCTGAGAAAGTTCTAATGAGACAAAAGTGAAAAGAAAATAGAACTTCTGTGTTTTTCTGACGTCAGAGAGTCTGTCGAGAAATGCAGACAGCAGTATATTTTCAAATTCTTCAGATCGAACAAGAAAAGACAGGGCTTTTTATATGATTTGAATCAATGTGCATAAGAACAGAGACGTCATCCTTTGCATCAGATATTAATGATGCATGCTTAAGATATAGATACTAGTAACAATGTGGGTAAGAACAAAACGTACAGCGCTTCAGATAATATTTCAGGAGTAATACACAACATATGCAGATCAGATTCTACATAATGTCCAAATGTTTAATCAGGTCATTATTTGATAGTGATCATTTAAATGTAAGAAAGTTTTTCCAAAACAGACAAAAGTGTAAAGAAGCTAATACTACTTTGTTACTTCTTCTAGACTCCTTCATGAAGAAATGTCCAGGCCATAGTTGATAGGTTGGAATTTAGATGTGGAAATGTGTGACCATTTTTGTTTCATGAGGATTGGCCCAGGGATAACAACGGTTTTTGAACATTTCAGTTCTATTTTGGCAACAAAAGTCATTGGGACCATGCTTTATTTCTCACCGTGTTGTCGTAGCGATAGCAGAGACTCCCTGGTATGTGATAATAGGAGAAAAAAAGACCAAATATGAAATGTCAACAGCTCAAACTTGAACACACATAAATCTGAAGTTATCCACAGATCTTTGAGTACTTTAGAAGTGCAACACATTTTGATAACAAATTAATATATGTCAGTAATTGACAATGGAAGCCAAAAGAATGTTTTTATATAGAAGTTTCTTTGCAATCTCAATCAATAAATCAACGGGTCCTATGTTTGTTATTGTGATGCCATGGCCAGAGCAAGAAGACCCTATTTTTGTTAATGGGAACAATTTCATTTTTCATCATCAACTTATTTACAAAATGTATTCAGACGTATGTGCGGCGCAGCTGCAGTATTTGAACATGTCTAAAGCCTCAGCCTCATGTATTTAGCTGCATTTGTTTACATACAAGTTGCCATAACATATGAAAAGTAAGATAAAGGCTTTTCTATGGTTGTGAGACATGGTTTGGTGAAGGCGTGGGCTGATCATCACCGCTTGCAGCTATATTTTATTTTACTTTTAATGTCACAAGTGTGCAAACTTTAAATTTACCACTAATACATTTTAACATACAGTACTATTGTTAGGTTTGTGGATCTATAGTGGACTTGTCCTGCTGCGGAGGAGGACAATAGTGGGTGTTAAGTGGAGCAGGTGACGTCCTGCCTCAGCCTCTGTCCTCCTGACCCCAGGCCTCAGGTCAGAGTTCAACCATTGTTTTAAAGTGAAGGCACCGCCCCACAGTTCAGAGGAGGACAATACACAAAACACACACATACACGCACGCACACACACAGGGCTCAACACTGTGTGATTCTAATGATAATATTGATATAATTTATGTAAGTAAGTAGTATGTACTCTGTATTTATATAGCGCTTTTTCACAGAGCAAAGTCACAAAGCGCTTTACACAGAGCTCACACATTAACATCCCATTCAGAAATATTTTATATGTTTTTTGTGGTAGGGGAAACCGGAGCACCTGGAGGAAATGTACGCAGACACGGGGAGAACAAGAAAACTCCACTCAGAAAAGCCCTGTTCCAATCGGGATTCGAACTCAGGACCTTCTTGCTGAGTACTATCCACTCAGTCTATTTATCAGTTTATTCTTGTTCATTAGATTTGAGTTTTATTTGTTGAGTTTTTTTTTGCATGTGATGATATCCATGACAGTTTGAGACCAGAACCAGGATTATTATTAGGATTCATTTCAACATTAACATCCCATTCAACTTTGCTATTACGTTTTTTTTCTCCAGGTGGTGGGAATGTTCTTGTGGCAGCAACAAAAACCCGGTTTATAACTCATTGCCAATAAAAAAAAAAGCTTAATTCAGAAATATTTTATTGCACAGATGAAACAGTCATTACTTCAGTATGAAAGCTTGCCTCTCCACAAACTTGGCTCATACCTATCTGTGTCTGGTTTCCATAGTAATGTCATATCTTTGAAATAGAGACTGACAAGATAAGTTTCTGAAATATTGGCCATAAACCTCTCACAATCCAACAATATAATGTGTAATTATTTACCAATTCATTTATTTTTCACTCCTTTACCTATGGTCCAGTTCTGTGTCAGTCTAAACACGACTGATTCTGGTGGATATCTGACTCTTTTTGTACCGAATAATGACTCTATAGGTTAAAAATATAAATAAAAATCAAATACACAGGAATAACTACAGATGCAATGATGAGCTATAAACAAACCTTCCAGCAAAAACATGCAGGTGGTCGTGGTATCCATGTTTAAGATGAGCCTATTCCCGTCAACGGTCACTTATATATTCCAATCTAAAAATGTCATTTGCTTTGGTGCTATCTTTCTGTATTGTATTTGCTGAATCAAATCTGGAATACATTTCGGTAATAAAATTGTTATTAAACAAGCCTTTAGAATCATAATAATAAACAGCCAAAGAATGTGTATCAATCAGCTACAGAAAACTCGTAGCATTGGATACAATCTGCCTCAGTATAGTTAAATGTATTCATATCTATTGAAATAGTTGCTAAGTCGGCTCAGTTTTAAGCCAAGATGCATCGCTGCTGCTGCCGCTGACTTGGATGGGCCGACATGTTGGATCACCCAGGCTTGATGCCACTTGCAAATTTACTGAAGGAGTACGTCGAGGAAAGAGAGTGACTTTCAGCATAACTCGAGTAGTAGGGAATGTGTGGGTGCACGTGTAGGTGCGTGTGTGTGCGTTTTTGTCTGTGTGCATGACCTGTAACTTAGTCAGTTGGTAGAGCATTGGCCTTTGGGGCTGAAAGTTGTGGGTTCGAGCCCACCGTAAGACCTAATTCACGACTCCCACTGATGTCTGCTGTCGTTGGGTCCTTGGGCAAGACACTTAACCCAACTTAACCCAAGTCCCCGCTGAAAGATCTCAGCTCCTGTGGACTCACCACCTGCAGGAGGATCAGTGAGGGGCTGGTGCTAAGTGTACAGGGTGCAGCTCTGACTGCCACCCCCCCAACCCAGAAATGGATTAAGGGGAAGAAAATAAATGGATGGATGGAAGTTTGTATTCCAGTGTAGTTTTTGTCTGCAAATGGCAATAAATTGATTCTGATTCTTCTATAAATAATAGTAATAAATTAATTGAATTGATTTTCAGGGTAGAAACCTGTCTCACATTTTCAGTAGGTCAGTTCCAGATTTTAGCTGCATAAATCTAAAACGCATCCTCCTCATATTTAGCCCTGACTTTGGGCACCAGCAGGAGGCCAGTCCCTGTGCTCCTCAGAGTCCTAGTTAGTTTCAATTATACACTTAACATGTCACAGATGTACTTTGGTGCGAGGCCATGGAGAGACAGTCGTATTTACAGTCAAAGTTGCATCCGAAACATGCACGATCACGCCTCTATAATCCTAATATATTGTGACATTCCTCCAGCACAGCAGCAGCCGGACATGTGTGCCAGTGTGCCAGCCAGGCCACTGATGTAATCCTGGGGCTTTTCAGATTACTCCACATGGGTCACATTTTACACAGAGCACCGCACACTGGGTCACCTTACCGAGCGCCCTGACCGAACTGAGTGCAGCCCGATCAGCCATGCACACCCACTGCAGCAGACGCCAACTGGGGCTCAGCAGCAGGTCACGACAAACGCCTAAATAATTCATCATAATGGACGTCGACACACACAGGCCAGTGACACTGCACAAGAACGTGGGAATTGGAAATGTATGTCAGTCATACACAGGTCAGTTACAGGTTTATGTTGTGCTCAGAAATGGTTGATAGGAGATTCAAATACATTTTAATTAATTTCATCATCAGAGAAAGGTATACGCTTTACATATATACAAACCTACATTGATGAGACATATAGACATTCAGAGATACAGGTAAAGATACTGTAGACATACAGGTATACAAACAGAAAGACATAAGGGTAGACATACAGGTACAAGTAACATACAGGTACAGGTAGACATACGGGTATACATACAGATAGACATACAAGTACCGGTAGACATACGGGTAGACATACAGGTACAGGTAGACATAAGGGTAGACATACAGGTAGCATACAGGTATAGGTAGACATATAAGGGTAGACATACAGGTACAGATAGACATACGGGTACAAGTAGACATACAGATAAGACATACAAGTGCAGGTAGACATACGGGTATACATACAAGTAGCATACAGGTACAGGTAGACATAGAAGGTAAAAGGGTAGACGTACAGGTGCAGGTAGACATACAGGCATACTGTAGAAGCCAAAAGGGTAGAAGGGGGAGGGGGGTGGAGTTAGTCAGCAGTGATTCCAGATGACTCAAAAGGACTCCTATACAAAGATGAAGCCACTAAATGCAAACAGCTCTTTGTAAATGGCTACTATCGTGACCTGGACATAATTTATGATCTGAAAGGAAAAAGGTTGAAACACAAAGTGAGTCGCACAATAGACACAGTAAAAGAGGCAGAGCGTTGTAACACATTGATAGAAGAGATTGATTCATATTAGGTTCAATGAGTTCATCAATAACAATGGCAACAATCCACCACTATATGACCTTTCCTTCAACATAAATTATAGTGAGCACAGCTGAATCTAATACATCTTTTATTGTATATATTTTCACATCATAACAACAGCAGCAGCAAACAACAACTGAGGATCTATACTGGATTGTGAAGGAAATGAACCACAAAAAGACCAGTTAAAATTATAATTCAATTCAATTCAATTTCATTTTGTAAAGCCCCAAACAGTGCTAACAAACTAACAAATACATAGAAGCCATTGGTTCATAGGGAGCGACTGCTGTTCATACATGTCTATAAATGTTATAAGAAAACATGTAATAAATAGGATTTCTTATAATAATGTGTCTTTAGTGACAAAAAGCACTAAAAAACAACATTATAAAAACAAATTGTCCTGGTGCACATACATAGATCAACTTAGCACAAAGAATCTTGTATATTCTTATGAATGAATTAAACATTGGCAAAATGGATCCCATGTTTCAAGATTGTGATTGATGAATCTGACTTAGTAATGTCATTTTCAAAAACAATGCAAGAACAAAACATAGTAGTCTTCATACTGTTGAGACATTATTAAAAATGTACATAAATACCAACAATGGTAAAGGACAAATGCACAAGATCACATCAGTGGATGCTGTTAGCAACATGAACGCATGACTGACCTCGTTATTTGCGAGCAGATGTTTTGTTTGGACTTGAATGAGTAAATACTTTGAATACATTCCACTTCATCACTGCAGTTTTATTCAACACATTTTCTAGGCAAGGCCAGACACGTTTATTTGTATAGCACAGTTCATACAACTCAAAGTGCTTCACAAAACAACAATCACTCAAGACATTAAAATCATGAATAATAACTTTACATTCAAAAGAGTGAAGATACAATCCTGCAATTGTATCCACAGCCAAACGGAACTGCTTTTAACCTGGATTTGAACACTTTACAAATACAAAAATAAAGTACACATTTACATTTATTTACATTTACATTTGCCGGAGAAGAAGCTTTGGATTCTATTGCTTGGATGCACCTGTCATGTGTGTGTGTGTTTGTGTGTGCTCATTAAAGAGTCATTTCTATCTGATAATGTATGGCCATGTATCCATCTACTTTTATTTTACTGTTTTACAACCACCTTCTCGGGGACTAGATAGGACTTAATTATCTCTCCTGCAACAACCTAATGTTTATTGTACACTGTCCCTCTAAAAATCATACCATATCATGAAGTGTTGGGCTGTCAGATCTTTCCATGAATTTCCCATTGTTTTCTTTTAGTATTCTTAACAATATGCTTGGTTTATAGTTTCTGCCTACAACAGGAGTCACCTATAGCAGCCGTATAGGGCAATTTGAGGCAGGCAGCTGGAGGAGCCCGTCTGCATGGCGTCCGTTACAGGACTGGGCCACATGTGCAGCAGGACGGCCATCTGCATCCATTGTCTCTGAGGCTGAGCAGCGGCTGCACGCATGGCTGCACCCCTAAAGACTGCCTTTCCCTTCTGCCCCCTCCTCACCTCAGTCTGGACAAGAGCTGACTCCTTCATCCCTCCAAAAAGGTGGTGGGGAGGCACACACAGAGTCAGGCGGGTGCAAATATGTCAACCTGAAACACCAAACGCATGGTTTTACCCTGCGTTCATTTTGAAAAAACTATTGTTCAGGCAGTATGATACTCGCTATGAATTTTAAAGAACATTTAAAGAAGCTGGGATACCTGTTTATCACTCCACAAATATGAATCTATGTAACAAAGAGTAACAATAGTTTTTACATGCATGTACTTTGGCATCTGTCACATCTTTTAAATCAGATATATCAGACAGAAAAAGGAAAAAAAGAGGATCAGTCTTTCTCAGCCAATCAGCTCTCAACCCAAAGCGTATAAATAGTGACTCAGATTCACAGGGCTCTTTCTTACGTAATATCAAATGCTTTCTATTAGGATAAAGACAGCATGTAGTTGTCAGATTTTCTTTGCAACACTATTTATGCTCGGTTATACTATGTATTATTTATGCAACAAAATAAAGTCAGGTACCCCAGCTTTAATACAGCAGCAATTATTGAATAAGCATGTGCGTTTGAAGCAAAGTCTAAATTATAACCATCATATAATAAACGTATATTGAAAACGTATGTGTGTTTGTATTGTTGTTGTTTTTTGCATGACTCAGAAGTTGAACACAAACATATAGACCTGAACCACCACATAGAACACACACAAACAGACACAAACACACACTTCTTGTCAAGTTTGTGTATGAATAATGAAGATGTATCGTGGCACAGACAGCAATAAAGGCATTGTGCACGCGTTAGTCAGTGGGAGGGATTATCCAAGTAGGGCAAGTGGCTGAGGCTAAGAACTGCGCCTCATCCAGCCCTGTGCACTTCAGTCCTCTGCTCACGCACTCAGGACCAGGGGAACCATTCCTGCGCTGTTTGTTCTATAGTCTCCCCCAAAGCAAAATGGTCAAATACGTGACACAGCGCAGAGAGGTGCTTTCAGAGTCGGAGGCATCCCTGGACCAGCAGGATTACGCGGAGATGCAAAGCGACTATTCCTTCAGAGACGTGTTCTTCTCCAACTGTTCCGCAATGGACCAAATCGACACTTTTATGAAGAATGTGCAAGTGCTGCTTGATGCGGCAAATTACATAGAAAATAACGAGAGGAGCAACGGAAGTAAGTACAGCGAGTCACTGGGGATATTAACACGTAATGCGCCGCGCAGACAACAATAGAGACAAGGCGACAAAAGACGCGCAGCAGCGGACGTGAGCTGGCCCTCTGCGTGGGTCTCACCGGGCTCACCTGCCTCTGCAGCGGGCAAAGGAACCAGCGTTTATATTTCTATCAACATCACACAAATATAGGCCTATATTTATGGCTACAGCTGCCTGCATAGAGGAGATTATTGGAGAAGTGCAAGGAGAGAAATCATGGCTTCTGTAGGAAAGGGTTTTCTGCAAAGCTTTGTCTAAAGACATATAGACTATAGTTTCTAAACGGTTTAAAGATTAACTATGAAAACTCATAAAGGCCTATTATTCAGGGATTAATGCATCTTTGTTTTCCCATACACCTCCCCTACCCTAATTCAAGGTTAAAGTCGTCGCATTGGAAAAAAGTTCGTTTACTGAAAAATCTCCTAAATTCTTATGTCTCTAACATAAATATATATGGATTTTTTTACCAGCGCTTCCGTGTGTGTTGTTCACATGGTTTCCACATGGAACGAATTGTAAAGTTTTTATTGGTCCAAAGACTTTAATCCAGAGTGAGGCTCAGAGAGAACAGCCAATCGAAGAGAGGCTCACACCTGACGTCTCATGTTACCAAGACGCATGCATCATGGGACATGTAGTCTTTCTGAAGGATCTCAAATGCCTGCATTCACTGCATCACTCACATGTAGCACTGTTTAGCACAGCTTCAGATGCCACATGCACACATTGGCGCCAGTGTGCGTCATTGTTGAAATGTTGTATTTTTTATTTTCACTTATCTGTATTTTTTAAAGAATACAACACATTTTCTCTCCCTGTCCAGAGTATGAGCATGGATATGCATCTTCATACCCAGCCAGTGATAGTGTACATCAGCTGAAGCAAAGAGCATTTAAAAGCAGGAAAATAGACAGTATTCACAGCAGGTCAGTGAGAGTGATTCTCCCAATATTACCTGCTGCATGTGTCATTGTAAAAGGTGCATAACTGTTTTGTTTTTGTCATTCGAACAGGTCAGCGCACAATGAACTGGAAAAGAACAGGTACGTGAGAACAGAAAGGTCATTATGTCTGACTGGAACACACTGTACTGTTGTTAGATTTATGGAATGAGAGCTGTGTGTGTTTGTGATACATTACATCACACATTATTATTACAGATGAACTCAGGCATAATCAGTGATTGATGACCATTTTTATTGTTAACTATTAACCACATTTTATAATATAAAAGGAGGGCATGCAGCCTGGAAATACCCACACAGACTAGGGGAGATGAGTATTCTGCTACAGGTGTGCTATTGTAGACCTATGTGTGCCTCTGGTCAGCAGATAGGAGCATGTGTTTCCAGACAGCTAACATTCTCTGCAGCAAATCCTGTGCTGTTCATAATGCTGCATTATGCTGGGATGAGTGCGGTGAGAAAAGATGAAATTATGTTCTATTAATATGTGTATGCAAACAAAATAGTACACAAAAATTAGGATGCAAACTGGCTTCTTATCAAACTGACTACAAAATGGTTGCCACTGCAGAGATGATAGAATGAATTGACCTACTTTTTGAATTTGAGATTTTTGTCATTGAATGTAAAATGCTTGTTTTCTTCTTCACATCTATTGTACACCTAAACCATAATGCTGAATGAGAATCCCACCGCTCAGTGTGGTAGCTGCACACAGCAGAGAGCATGAGAAAAGATGATGTCATGCTTGTTGTCTGCTGCAGACGTGCACACCTCCGCCTGTGTTTGGAGAGGCTGAAGTCGCTCATTCCCCTGGGCCCAGACTGCAGCCGACACACTACTCTGGGACTACTCAACAAGGCCAAAGCACACATCAAGGTTTGACTTCCACATCTCATCAGCAAAGACTTGGTTACAACTATGATTAGAGATTAGAGACTAGGTTCGACTGTCTATGGACTATAGATTAGATGGAATGACTTCCTGGTCTTCAATGTTATTATCAGAAATGTGAAACTATTTTATGTGAGAAAACACCTTGAGCTAATACAGAGAATGGAAAGCAGTCTCACAACCCGTTTTTTCAACTGGGACTCTAAGTATTGTTATTACTATTGACTTTTTGAGACTTATTAAGATATGAGAATATATTTTCAGGGTAGTCCTGACCACAAAGGGGAGGAGTCAATTGTACATGTTAGGCAGTGGGGTCAGATGGCTGTCCAATCACAGCGATAGGACTGTCTGATGCATATGTACAAATCACTTGTGAAAACTGAATCCTCCACCTACTCCTATTTAATTTGATTGATAAATATGCATGTTAACCTGTGTGCGCCAATTGAAGTGTGACTAAACCAGTCTGTTTGGAGGCACTGGTGCTACCATGGTTGGGGTGGCATGTAACCACAAATGCAAAAGAAACAGAACCGTTTGCCTATTATGTATGTGTATTAGCCATTTCATCACTAAGGGAGAGAACCTTTTGGAACTAGGTTTATTTTGACATTGTGGATTTTTAAAGTTTGTGCTCATGGCTGCCATTTTGTGTTCCTCATGTCATGGCAATAGCAGCAGGCTCAGCCCTGTGTGATCCCTGCAGGATTTGCACGACTTGGTACATATAATCAATTGTTATTGTAAAGTATTTCTATTATTCAGGAAGAGCTGGCAGCGCCATATGCTCTGTCAGGGGCACTACGCTACTCTTGCACAAGTATTCCAAAGGGGTTTTACTAGAAATGGAAAATACACTGAATCTGACTTTGACTTTTGAGAATATAGGTGTGCGAAGCTGGCCAGGGTAGAGATAGCAGAACTCATATCAAAAGTGAAACCCAGATGATTTATTTTAGTCCCTCGGTGTGTCTACTGATAAGGTTCACCTGGGAGCCTTTTAAGCAGCTAGCTACACCCACTAAGGGCTGGCCCAAGACCCCAAAATGGCTGAATAGGGCTGGTAAGATTTTACATAAGAAAAAAGTGGCATTAAAAACGGACACAATAACCCCCTTTGGGGGGTGTATTTTTATTTAAGAACTCGTCATCCTTTGTATTGGTTCACTCTAAGTAAGATTGATAAGAATCTCACAAGTATCAACTTCATTTTCAGAAACTTGAAGACACTGAGCGAAGAAGTCAGCATCAGCTGGACATCCTGGAGAGAGACAGACGGCACCTGCAGAGGCAGCTGGCCCAGCTTCAGCCTGTGGGGGACAGAGAGAGGCTGCGGATGGACAGTCTGGACTCCAGGGAAGACTTGGACCAGACAGAGTCTGACAGAGGTCAGTAAATTCACTATGTTTTTTATCATCTAATGTTTATGGATGTAAATAATAGTTATTGCCATAAAATCAAATAAATATATCTGTTGGCATATCTGCAGAGGACATTGAAGTGGACGTGGAAAGCACTGAGTTCTCCCATGGAGAAATGGACTGTGTCAGCACAAGTGGAGTGAGTGACCTGGATGACCACAGCAGCAGACAGAGCTCCATCAGTGACGAGGGCTACTCAACCTGCAGTCTCAAAGTGGCCTTCAATGTGTGAAGAAGATCCATGACACGATAAGTTCAGCTGCAGTGTCCACACCACGCGTCCTAGGCCAATGCTCCACCCTCTCACAGTTTAGAAACTGTTCAGAAATACCAGCCTAAGCCAATTCCTCCGACCCAGAACCTGCCTTATGTTGAGTCCCATTTCTAAGGGCTCTTTTGAAGAGTCTCAACATTAATCATGTTATGTACTCAAGTAGAACTCACACGGCAATATACAACTTCATTTTTGAAGTTGAAGCTCGACATGACCCGTTACCTAAATGCCCTTATTTTTACAGGCTTTTGCAGCAGAGGCATTTATCTCCAGTAAGGCTACACCAGCAAAACAAACGCAGCCCAATTTTCGCTTAAAGTCGCTATTGGGGAAATAGTTTCCATGTCTTTTGTAAAAAACAAAATAAAAAAAATCGTTTCCACTTGAAAAGCCCAATCTCCACATCCTGTCGCCCAGGGACAGGTGCTATGATGTCTGCATTCCAACATTGGGACGGCCTTTCTGCTTCAGAACCCAGAGCACTGCTGTGGGACGTCCAAACAGGTGGTGTCGTCCACCCTTTAGTTTTTTTAATTTATTTTGAATGTTATAGTATTTATTTTGGTATATTTAAATGTAAAATAGCTACAGATGTGGTTATGCTTGAAATTTTGCTTGCTTGACATTTCATACTTTATAATTTATTTTCTTCATGCTTCTAATAAGCTCAAGCAATACAAAGTCAACAATTATTTACCTATTTTGTCCAACTAATGAAATATCTCGAATTGCAACTACCCAATTATTTGATATGATTGTACTAAATATACTATAAGCTACAATGCATGTTGAATTGAATGTAGTCTTTCCAATCATGTAATGTGCTTCGGATGGTCAAATTATTGTAGCATGAACAATACTCCAACATATTAATTTATGATTATAGTTGACTTAGAATTGATACTTCTGTACTGTATGTTTGTACTGTAAGCATTTTTGTTTTAAGTTAAAAACTTGTAATATTATTTTTTACCACTGAAATTGCACAGAAAGTCTTTCATTGTTTAAAACCAAATGTACCTTTCAGACTAGACCCTGTTAGCTGATCATTTGTAGTACAAAGTACGTAACTACCAAACTGTGTCTTAACCTGGGTAAAAATCCATTTGCACACAATTACTTGTTTGGGAAAGTGAAAATGCACTATCAAAAATGTAAGATGGGGAGCAATGTCTAAGTAACGGAGACTTTTGCAAATCATGTGCAGCTAGTCTCCTGTTGATACTTTGTTACAAGTCCTCATTACTGTCCCTGACAAAAATAAAGTTATATAGATTGATACGTCTTCATTGTCTTTATGTATCGTAGATGTGAGGCTCAGGTCCTATGTCACCGACCATCTGGGTGCAGGTCTCATTCACTAACAGTCCATAAAGCCAGGCCTACTGCCCACTTCCTTCATACTTCAGTGACAACACCTGAGGCTTTCCTTCTACCCTTCCACTCATACATATTTGGCCTTTTCACATAAAAGATTTTAATGTGATTTAAAAGAATGGACTAATAAAATGTATCCCGTATGAGATCAATAAAGTCATCTTATTTCAACTTTTAATACTGTGGCTCTCAGGCAGAGTAAGTATGTAATCTGTAAGTATATAGCACATTCTACAGACCAAGCTTCACCCCTCAAAGTTCAGATATTTTTCTATTCTCTCCACACACGGTGACGATGGAAGACAGACATAAAGCCAACCAACACCATCCCTTCCCTCACTTGTTACATTCATATATTGTACATGTTAATAGTGGTAGGGGAAACCGGAGCACCCGCAGGAAACCTACACAAACACAAAAAGGCCTGGAGATGGAATCAAACCCCGGACCTTCTCGCTGTGAGCCACAAGCTCTAGCTGCACCGTGCCTCCCACAGACTGAGTATCCAATCAGAAAGCAGAAATATAAGTCATTTGGGTTGCCAGTTTCCTTAGTGAATTCCTGCTTGTCTAGTCTAAACCGGAGCATAAGGGCAACAGTAACACGAGCTGAAGAGGCACACGTTTGCTTTATGCAACATACTGGCAACGCGCACAAGTTTGGATTGTAAATGACTTTATTAAGTAAGAGTAAGAGCGCAAACTACATACTGTTCCTGTGAAAGTCTCATACACAAAAAGATGTTTTTATATATAAAACCAGAGAAAACAATACTCTTAAATTCAGTGGTATATGTACAATTTGAATGTGATTTCAGCAATCACAAAAGGTGACATCACTACACTGGCCCTCCATAATATTCACCATTTCATACCACAGAGCTGTAAAAGATGAATATTGTGTAACCAGGTCTCTGTTGATGCTACACAAATTCTCCTTGCACCAAATGGAACTGGTTACATTTGAAAATATATAACTTCCGAGTTTGTGATCCCATTTTATAATAGGACAAAAACACTTGCCAAGGAGTCATGCGAGCCAGTAAAACCAAATATTTTTTTCCTCCTACAAAATAAGACAACACAATGGAAATAACTGGTATACAGTGAAACATTACACACACACACACACACAACACAAGAGGTCATTGGGGCATTAAATGTCTGACGTTGTATTTTGACGTGTCGTTATACTGGGTCATGGGTTTGTCAGCGATTCCACAAGTGCCTACTCCCACTTTTCCATTAACGCTTTCTGGAGAGGCAAAAATACTTCTCTTCACCTGCAAACAGAAAAAGGCTTACTCTCAATCCTGAGATTGTAAAAGTATATATAATACGGTGAACTGCTGTGTGCCGCACCTGTCCTTTCTTTCCTTTAGACGACGCCTTGGTGTTGAACGTTTGCCACTTTGACTTCTGTTCTTCTCTTTCTTGCTCCAACTCCTTCATCCGCTGGACTTTCTTTTGAGCCTTTTTCTTTTTGTATTCACGTTCTTCTGCGATCTTCTCTTTCCTAAAAACACAGAAAATTTACATGACAATGCTTTAGTTGTGTTACAGCTTTTAACAGTTCGCCACAACAACTCTCTTGAACAACAACAATAAGGAAACTTGGGGATTTTGTGACCCCAAGAACTGCATAAATGTGGCATCATGCCAGTCAGTAAAATATGCTCATTCGTTTTACTCTGCAATTGAATTGTTGAATAATAACTTAGATGTTTTTATGTTTTCAAACATAAAAACAGTGTGTATGAAATTTAGAATTAAAAATGAAGCCAGGGCACATCCACCCGGGCACCACATGCCGGAAGTCGGTGGAATGGCAGTGTGTGAGTGTGTGTGTGAGTGTGTTTGTGAGTGTGTGTGTTAGTGTGAGAGTATGTTTGTGGCGAGTGTCATCTCCTCAGAGGACAAGGTCATGTCTTGTAAGAGAGGACTGTGTATGTAAAGCCCAGGGATGGCCATCTTGTCAAAGAAACACCGACAGGTTCCAGTTGAAAACAGGTGTTTTAAGTGTAAAGCAGTGTCTAAATGGAATAAATAAGCATAATGTGCGCTAAATGGTGCATAGTGCAGAACACATCTTGTTCAGGCTTCAGCTCCAGCAAGACAAACAGTATCATTTAAAAGAAAGACACATTTAAAAAGATCCAGAGTTGATCAAAGATTTCCCACTACAACACGTCTGTGTGTGTCTGTGGCTCACACATCTCAGAGAGTTCATCAGATTGATTTGAGCTTTTGGAAACATCTTGCACATTTTTAGTATTCATTTTCAAAACTCCCACATAGATTCACAGGGCTTTATGGGTACTGCACTTGTATTTACAATATATCAAAAAACAACAAAAGTTAAAATCTGTAGTTGAAACTTAAATATATACCAACTATTATGATGTATTAGTAGTTGAAGAAATAGTTTTAGACTAAATGAGCCTTACTTTGACTTGGCCTTCAGGGGATCTTCTGGAATAGTGCCCTCTTCAGCAGGTTTGAGGTTCAGCAGAGGGATCACTTCAGCATTTCCATAACCGATGAAGGTAACCGCTGCCGTGCCATTCTCCCGGTCTATCTCTTCAATCTCGGCCTCGTACATCCTGTCAAGAAATCACGGCTGTAAGCTGGTGAGTATGATTCTTGGATAAACAATTTTCACAAGATAATAAACAATTATCATATTCAAAACAATAATGTACAACTCTACTTACTGTCCATCTGTATTCCACACAGCCATGCATCTGTTCCCGATTTTCCATTTGTGTTTGAGAGGAGCAGGGTTTGAACTGGCAGACGCTCCTTCAGCCGTCTGAGAGGTCAGGAGGTCTTTCGTCAAATCAATGACTTCCTGTAGATACATAACAACAGGTTAAGACGTTTTAGTGGCACACAAAGGATGTTTACAGTGTGTATTTACCAACAGCTTTGTTCTGAACAAAAAAATTATACCTTAAAAAACACAACTGAACCGATTTTGATTTTCAGTCCATCATTGGTATCTGCAGGTATTGAAAGGTAAGGTACACCATTGGACATGAAGAGGTTGGATCTGTGCATCCCTACCAAATTAAATTATTTTAAATGTTTCAATCCAGTTTATTATGTGTACCACTTTGGCTGATTCACATGTTAGGGGTCTGTGGAGACAACAGTTGACACTCAGTTAATATACCTTGTCTGATGTCATCCTCAGTGCTCTGCCTAAGCTGCTTCATTGTTCAAAGTCACCTGGAAACAACTCTATTGAACAATAACATACATATTGCATGGGTGTGTTGGTTTCCTGCCATTGTTTGTATGGTTTAATTGTGTAGACTAAAGCTGTGGTTCTCAAACTTCAACATTCAAGAAATATTCAGCCTCCCAAATGAAGCTCAACAGTCCAGTGGAGGTTGAAGTGGTGGCATTTTCACACCTTGCCCAAGGTCACAACCCTTGAAAACTAGTTTTGCAGATAAAACCATCCCTTTAGCAGAAAAGTTCATAATGTGAATCATCCCTGTTTTCTATATGGTTTACAAAATATGCAAACATTAAGTTTGATGTCAATCTTTTAGAAACTAAACATCCACAGATATAACTTTAAAGTTTATATATTTCAGATTTTATAAAGAATGAAGGGTCTTTTAGGCATCCACTATCGGTACTTTGAGAACGTTGATGATGTTGCACACCCAAAGACAACTCAAATTAAAACAGAAAAAGGATTTAGGACCTATCACTATTAAGGCCATATGATATTTTAACTAGTCCTGCAAAAAGGGAATATTAGGCTTTTATACACTTTGAGCTAGGGCTGGGCAATAAATTGAATTTAGGCAATTAATCGGCGTTTGAAAAAATCTAATTCGTGAAAAATGTGAAAATCAGCACAGTCTGTACAAGACTTATAATACGTGTTGGGGGAAAAAAATTAAAAATAGTTTTGAAAATTGAATATTGAGCGGATAGATCAAAAACATATTTCAAGGGCAAAGAATGTCTTCAGTGACTTTAATGAAAATCAATTTAAAATCGAAATCGTCCAAAGCAGGAAATAAAATCGAGATTTAACTTTTTTGCCATATCGCCCAGCCCTACTTTGAGCGTTTGAAAGTGTTAAAACAATGAAAGAAATATTTCCTCATTTTCCATCCACAGAGAATCCCAAAGAGCCTCAACGCCTCTCTTCCCTGCACCGACACAGCGCTTTTCTACCAATGTTCCAATAATAGACCCTCATACAAATCCTACAAAACTATAAAGACACTGAATGTGCACTAAGAGATAGGCCAAGTGGAGAAGAAGCTGCTGTCAGCGACGAAGCAAAATTGTGTTTTGAATATTCCTTTCACTGAACTACCACCTCTAAAAGTAAGACGAACAAAAAAACAAAGTAATTGTGAGACAAACAGAATGCCTTCATTCACAACACACCTGATTAGCCAAATAACTTTACCTTTTCCACAGAAACAATCAATTTACTTATAGAACTATGTGGTGGCTGGTCACCATAATAATTTTTCCTGCCTGGGATCATTTAGTATATTGAAAGTTTGTACAACCTGGTATTTGCCATTTCGAAGGACCTGTACATATGTCAATGTTTCCTGAGGAGGTAGCATATGAAACAAATCTGGTACTGAATTTATAATGTGTTTTTTTTGCTTGTAAGTGGTCTCCAATACAAGTCTCTGTAATTTTAAGTCGCAATTTAAGAACCATTGGTTCAGCCAGGCTTCCTCTCCTCACCTTATATAGGCCCATCTGAGGTGTCTTTAAGATTATTATTCTATATATTTCTTTTTTCTCAAACTGACTGGTTTGTATACTATTTTCATTGTATGTTTCATTTGTGAAGCACTTTGTGATCCTGGTCTGTGATAGGCACTAGATAAGTAAACAACACTTACTTACGTATTAACACCATAATAACATGACATAACACACATGAGGACAGATGGATATGCTCAGGAGGGTGTTTGTTTGATGGTAGTCACCTGCAAGTCTTTCTGTAGTTTAAGAAGGTCTTCATTATCTGCATCGGAGGACAGCGCAACCTCTACTTGTGCCAACTGCGCCTTATAGCTGCTCAGCTGTTTCACCAAGTCGTCCGACATCTGAGGAGAAACACACCGCTACTGTTAGCTTTAGCCTCTCATGCTAATATATTGTTTACGATGGTATACCGTTAATGTTAAACAATTATTAATACTGTATATGGTATTGTTCCATCATACAAATAATAGATGTCCAATAACACGGCTAAACTTACATTTCACTTGCTAAATTCAAGATGTTTGGACGACGCTAAGCTAACATCCGATGCTAACAATGCTCTCAAGGATGGATCCGGACAGAGATCAAAGCTGAGAACGTTGGTTGTTCTTACCTCGGATGTACAGGATTTCCTGGTAAATAAATACTACAAGTGCCAGGTAAATGTAAAGTAATATATATCTAGGTAAATGCTACAACAGTTAGCTTCTTATGATATCATCAGACCGCAAACGGAAGTCAGTCTGAAGCGGAGAGAGAAGCGTTTAGAGCCCGGACATTTGCCTCTAGTGGCGGAACAGCGCATTACAGCAGCGCGAGTTAATCAAAATATTTACAATCTATGGGTCAAAACTATGGAACACAAACCATGCCACCACACACATGTACAGTAAGCAGTGTTGGGGAGAACCATCCATTCTTCCATTTTCTTCCTCTTTATCTGTTGCCGGGTCGCGGGGGCAGTTATCTAAGCAGAGACGCCCAGACTTCCCTATCCACAGTCTATGATCCACACACATTTCTTCCAGCTCAGCCGGGGGAATCCCGGGGCGTTCCCAGGTCAGCTGAGAGACACGGAAGAGCCGTGGTTCTATAATAATAGAGCATGGATATGAATCGAATGTAGCTATACTGGATACAAAATATCTGATTTAAATTGTATTTTGTAACACATTTTGTTACATAGCATGGTCAAAACAGGGTTCTGTATTCTGAATACAGTGCATCGCACTTTTGCACATTTTATTAGGCTTTTTTTGCTATCTTAAATTTGAATGGGATGTAACCCTCTCGTATATATTATGTCACCAAATCATTAGATTTTTTTGATATACAGTTTAAGATTGCATGGTCAAATCCCAAAATGTATTTCTTAGTATTTCTTTTTACTTTTTATTTTATTTTTTATTGACTCCTTCAGCAGTTCTTACATTAACAATTTACACAATGTTACTTTCGTCACTTGTACATTAGAACTTATACATTTGTTTACATTCTTCATTTTCATAATAAAACAAAAACAAAAGAAGAGTTGAGTAGCAATTGAAGAGATATTACAGGTGTCCTTGAGTCGAAAGATCTTGATATCACGTTTTAGCCTGAAATAGATATTTTACATGGTATTATTGATTAACACTGTGATCCAAAGTAAAAAAGCATGATCTGATTAAGGCTCTAATGGCCAAAACGTCATGCAATAATAATAGTAATAATTTTGGGCATCTGCGTATGTGGGTGCCATGCAACCTAGTTTATTTTGAAATTTTCTCTTTCACATTTGCAGCTTATACACTTTTTGAGCTAAGAAACCTTATAGCACAGAAACATTCCTAATAAATACAACTAGAGTACATACATCACTACAAGTGATGTATATTTGAACATCAGTGGTTTGATGCCAAATTGCCCCTCATAATTAAGTCTCTTCTTTAAATATGCATTCTATCATTAGGCTACATATGATAAGTGACCCACAGTTGCTGTAAAAAGATGGGATGGTCAACATGGCACAGTAACTCTTCTTGCCTGATTACAATTCATTGACGGTACAAGAGTTTTTCTGGCTGCTGTCTGACTGCTTCTCATTATACAGAGCTCAAACCCCTCCCTTTGCCAGTCTCACTGAAATGCAGCCAGAAGCAGTTATCCCCAGCGACACAGGAGGACCATGTCAAAGTCTACTCTCTTCTACAGCAAAACTTATTGGAACCAGCAATTTAAGGACTTTTCAACAAAGGTCATCCAAGGATCTAGCTGCTCATTTTTTGGCAGAACAATTACTGACAAAGGATTAATGTTTACTTTACGTATTCAAAGTATTGTTTTTTTCATTCCAACCCAAACCTTTTGACTGTCTGTGCCACAAAGCTCATCCTGATGGATTGTTTGAACTTCACCAGCGAATACCACGTTTGCCACACGGTCCCTCTCACAATCTCAGTGGCTGTCCTCATTTTGGTAATCGTATTTGGCAATGTCCTTGTTGTCATCTCTGTCATCACGAGTCGTGCGTTGAGAGCTCCACAAAACTTATTTTTGGTCTCTCTGGCCAGTGCGGACATCCTGGTCGCCACTTTAGTCGTGCCGTTTTCCTTGGCCAACGAACTCATGGGCTATTGGTACTTTGGTCGGATTTGGTGCGAGATTTACCTCTGCTTGGACGTGTTCTTCTGCACTTCATCCATCGTCCATCTGTGCGCTATCAGCTTGGACAGATACTGGTCGGTCTCTCAGGCCATCAAGTACAATGTAAGACGGACGCCATGTAGGATTAAAGGCTACATTGTTTTCGTTTGGCTTTTGGCAGCCTTAATTTCCTTCCCTCCGCTTATCACAATGCAAAAGGAAGAGGGTGAAGTGGACTGCCCTATCTGTGACATTAATGAAGAGAAATGGTACATTCTCTTCTCAAGCACCGCCTCCTTCTTCGCTCCATGTGTCATCATGATCACGGTCTACGTACGAATCTACCAAATCGCCAAGAAATGCGTGAACGCCAAGAAGGGCGAACGCAACCCCGAAGACTTGAAATGCAACCAGGAGATCGGAGAGGATTCGGAAAAGCCGGCAGACGACGAAGATGAAGACGCTTCCACCACAGATTCAACAGATCAGACTCTATGCTCGCTGAGGAGGGGTTGGCGAATGGGAAAGGTGGTAGCACAAAAGTCTGAGGAGAGCTCGCCCAAGCCGGATGGGCGGAGGAGCAGGTGGAAGGGAAGGGAAAACAGGGAGAAAAGGTTCACGTTTGTGTTGGCCGTGGTCATGGGAGCATTCGTTCTGTGCTGGTTCCCTTTCTTCTTCACCTACACGCTCAAGGCTCTCTGTGAATCCTGCTCCGTTTCCAAAACCGTCTTCAAACTATTCTTTTGGTTCGGTTACTGCAACAGCTCGCTCAATCCAGTCATATACACAGTCTTCAACCAGGACTTCAGGCGCTCCTTCAGGAAGATTCTTTGTAGACAGAAGCAGAGGGTGTAAGCAGTTGCGTATTTTTGTAGTCGGTAAGTGCGTAGGTTTCCTCCGGGTGCTCCGGTTTCCCCTACCACTAAACACTTTGCGCCTGCTCTATGACAAACCTGCTGCTATCTCTGTGTGGAGTGAGAGGACAAATGCTCGCAACAATAGTAAAGCGCTTTGTGACTCTGGTCTGTAAAAGGCAGTATATAAATAAAGATTACTTAGTTACTTACTCAATGAAGTATTTTGACACAGTATTAGTATTAGGAGTGAGAAAAAATATCCAATTATCACTATATCGCAAAACAAAAATTTTTTGATTCAGATTCAGATTAAGAGATCTTTTATGTGTCCCAGAGGGGGGAAATTTCAGTGTTGCATCACCGGTTACAGAACAATAGGAATGAGGAGCACACAGCACAAGATAAATGAAGAATAACTCTATACAAAAATAAAATAATAAAACAATCTTTACCGTTAGCATAATAAAGAAGAAAGTATAAAATCTCTAGCTACAAAACATGAATTTGTGTTCATAGAAATTGAACTAAAGCTGGGGCACCAAACTTTCAATCAACTTAATAAAATCCATCTATCTACTTCCTCGCTCTCAAAACAGGCCCCTGTCACATCTTATTTTGTTTTTATTAGTTTATTTGACGAGGGACAGTACACATTAATCAAAATTTCTGTATGTGTCAGTATTTGCTGTAGTATTAGCTATACAGCTAGTTTCCAACTGTAGTTCCAGAGGCAAGATGTAAAAAGGCCAAATACACTGCAAACATTACAATAAAAACACAATTAGTTAAATCATTGCAATTTAAAGCAGGTCATTAAAACATGTACAAATAGAACACAATAGCATACTTCAAATGATGACTAGTTACAAGCTTGATTGTTTTAGAAAAGTCAAAATCAGCTCTCAGCCCCAAATTGTCCAATTGTGACTCACAGGGCTCTTTATTAGTATGCTAGTTGTTTAGTTAGTTAGTTATTTTTATAGGTATTTTCTAGTCAAGCTAAAGACAGCATGTGTGATGTATGTATTTTTGACTCTCTGTTAGAACATAAAACATTATAGACCTCAAGGAAACGTTAGGGACCTCAGCTTTAAGGTTTAATGAGGGAATAGTGTTAAAATATGGTCAGTTCTTAATAATTGCTATTTAAGACAATCCATCCGTATCAAAGGTTGAACTCACAGATACTCAGGAAATAACAAAAACATTTCTGTTACTTCAAGATAATACTGGTCAAGGTTGTAGAGGAGAAAAATGTGTTTGTTACTATACTTAAGTTTTAATTATTCTAATCCATGACACAAAGGTTACTTACACACGGCCTAATCAAAAACTGAAAGATTATTTTTTCTTAGAACAATACACTCAAACAGGACAATGTGTGGTCACCCTACACAATGAGTAAAAACAATAGAATCTCTGTAAGAATAATGTGAATAATAGTCACTAGTTTAATGAACATTTTTTGATTTTAAGATCAGAATTTATTTGAGCCATACAAAAATATATCATTCTGCACCACATAGAGAAAGCACTGTACCCACACAAATAGCAAAGAAAAATGTCCTAAGAATAACATTATACCATCTATGCTAGGCTAACTTGCCAACTCTAAATTAACTTGTCAAAAGTCCATAAAGATAAGTTATTTTCTCTGTATTTTTTTTAACATTTATGAAAATACACATGGAAAATTCCCTGCATAGTATTATATTTTAAGTCCTCACAAAACCTGGAATGTCCTGTCATTTTGTTCTCGCTGCTATTGCCTCTTATTTTAATAGTGAGGTTTATAAACAAGAACAAGCACATAGGAATAAAAAGGAAAAAAACATGGATTTTATCAAACGCTTTTGCTTCTATTTGCACAAATTAAAAAAAAAATCCAGTGCAGAGGCAGTACATTTCGCAAGCCTTTTTAAATACTGTCTACTCTGTTCATTGCTTATCATAACAGCATGTGAACAGGACAATTACACGAGGAGTAAATTATGCCCAGGGGGTGCGGATGGGACAACATTATTGAGCGCAGTTTATCAAGAATTATAGCCTCTCATATCAGGATATCATTAAAGCCTTCCCCGGAGTCAAAGGAAATCATGCAGCGATTGAAATATGGCCCGATTCTGCAAATTACACACGGGCTTATTGATGTGTGATCCTGTTGTTGTCATCTTTATACGCATAGTTAATACTGAAATAACTTTGTAACAATCATTAGTCATATTTTGCCGCCACTGACTGTTTTGGAGCAAGCAGGTTTCTCACAATAAAAGTGATTCTCATGACTTTGGTTCGGTGACCTTTGGTGTTTGAAAATTCCTGTGGCACATATGTTTGGATTCGGACATGTCTTAAAATACTGCATGTATTACTTACCACAGATGGTAACCAGAGCTGGAGATACTGTATCATGGGTTCCCACGTGACTTTAGGCTGGAAAACATTACATTTTGGGGTTTTTGGTCACATCGAATTTGAGTACCGAGTTGTGGAAAGTGGTCAAACTGAAATAGTGCTTTTTCATTTTATGTACACATTTTGTATCAACCCTTTCAGTGCCAAAGTAGCAGAATTTCTTTTAAATCTATGGGATACTTTCTATGCAACAACTAGGTTTTCCACAAATGTTTACGTATATTTCTTATATCTTTTAAAAATGTATATTCCTATTATTGATTTTAGTTGTCCTCTATCGTTTATACAGTTTCAGGGCATCACTTTTTACCTGTTTCTTCAGACTTAAAGGTTGATATTGGCCTGAAATGTAAAGGTACAGTATGTAATCTGCTCTGTTTTCCCTCTTTTCACCTGCCCTACTCTGCTACTTGACTCTGCTTTATTGGTCGGTTCTAGATCATATACGGAATCAGGACGAAACCGGAAGTAACAATCCTACTTTCTAATTAGTTTTAGACTAATAAGTCCTTAAGTTTTAGGTGTCTGAGTAAGATGGTTAAGGTTAGGGTTAAGGTGGGTTGGGGTTATTTTATGGGCATGGCTGGTTAAGTTTTGGCATGAATTTGTTATATTTACTTCCGCTTCCGTATATGATCTAGTGCTGACCCTACTTTATTCTACTCTACTCTACTCTACTCGGCTCTTCTCTACCTGATTGTGTTTCCATAACACTTTAGTATCTGTTACTGTATCCTAGCAACCTACCCACAACCAACATGGGGAAATTCTTGATTGGATGACCTGCTTGAAAACTGTAAAACAAAGATATTATAGACATCATGTCGTTTGTAAACTTCTGTTCAGAAAAATATGATTTGTACATAAAATATCTGGGGACACAAATGAAAGATTTTTTTTCTTTCTATCAGTGTCAGAAAGGTAAACTAAAATCAGTTACTGTGCGTTCAACTATTGAAATGTAGCTGTTTTTTAATATATTATAATGAATTCTACCTTTAGATAATAAATAAAATGACTAAATTATTTTGTGTTTTTGTTTTCACACATACACATATATGATTTAGCCAGTATTTGAAAGAATTTAACATGCAGACTAAATGCAAACTGCTGAATCATTTTTCTAAACATATGTCACAATGTTAAAATGAAATGCAAATTGCACCTCTTGGGGTCCCTGCACCAGTTGTTGGGAAACAGCCATAAGCCAGCTGTATGAATGTATGAATAATTACTATTGGCCTTTATGTTATGCATCATTTGAATTCTTCCTCTTGACTAATGAAAGATAATTTTGTACATGGCATTTTAGTTTTGAATTCCTTGTCATTTTTATCATTGTGTAATAAATTATACGCCTATGTAGCTATTTATAACGTCTATGAGCGCCTTTGATTTATGTCCCCCCTCTAAAGGCCAGTGCATCACAACTCACATCTGTGACATCTGCGCTTATGAAACAATGGCTATTTGCGGACATAGTTCTCACAACTTTCTCACAAATCCCCTGTCACTCCTTTTCATTCGGCTGTAGTAAAAGCATCCGCCCACCACGTCATGTAACTCACGGAGAATTAGAGGAGTGGGTCGAAATCTCCTAGGTCTGGTCCAGGCTTTTGAGACCCAGGCTGAGGAGACGTTGGCATGCTGTAAATAGACATATAGTGATCATTATCTAGTGCATTTTTACAGGCCAAGGTCAAAGCGCTTTACAAAGTTCAGATATTGTTTCATTTTCTCCACACACGGTGATGACGGAAGCAAAAACACACGGACGCATCAAAGCCCCCGACAAACACCATCCATTCACTCACTCATTACATTCATAATACCTATTGGGCATGTTTTTAGTGGTAGGGGAAACTGGAGCGCCTGGAGGAAACCTACACGGGGAGAGCATGCAAACTCCACTCAGAAATGCCCTGTTCCGACCGGGATTTGAACCCAGGACCTTCTTGCTGAGAAACGAGAGTGCTATCCAGTGCTATAAATAACATTTATAAGATATTGATAGACTATGAAACTCCACTGATTCATTTCCATTTTCCATTTTGGGTCGTTGGTAACAGATTTATGGCATGCAGCTTCTTCTTCTGCTTTGAATTGATCAGGACAAAATGTAATCGGATTAAATTGTGAGAGATGTGCAGATGACATTAATTTTGAAATTTGACTCCAATTAAGATGGCCGACTGGCTGGTCAGTACAAAGCTATCAGATTAACAATGATGGCTGCTATGTAGATTCTATTGGTGGGGGCGATGTCTTTTTGGTTTAGTATGATTCAATTATCTAGAATCGTATCAAATGTGTGTTGTTTACCTACTGGGTCTAGAAAACAAGCCATTTATCCACATTTAGCACATGTGCACAACAGGCAAGGCAAATATATTTGTATAGCACAGCTCATACACCAAGCCACTCAAAGTGCTGAACAAAACAAAAAAGAAATAACCACACATGGCGTTACAATCAGAAAATATCCCAGTACATAAAAGTGAATGGAGATACAATCCTTTAATAATTATGCACAACTAAACAGAACTGTTTTCAACCTGGATTTGAACATTGTCAGAGAAGAAGCCTGTCTCACTTTATCAGGAAGACTGTTCCAAATTTTCGCTGCATTAATCAGTCTCCCCATAGATAGATAGAACTTTTACAACCCGGGCAGCCTGTTACTGATGTCAGGATGTTAGGGAGAAGTTGTAGGCCTATATATCACCTGTGTTCATACTTATCTTCATAGTTCCCCTTTTTCAACCTTTCTGGCAGCTGCACACACTCATAGACAAAAGGTAGAGTGACATAATGACATGTCCTCTGGTCGATGAGTTTGTACAACCCATGTAGCTGTTATCTGAACAGCTTTGGACAGGTGTTTGAAACAGCCATCCATCCTTCACTACGCGGTCAAGGCACACAAACCTGCCAGACAGGAAGACACACGCCATAGCCCGCCTCTCATGGGCTGTATTGGACCCCTGAGGCCGAATGTAATGTAATACTGCAGGATAAGTACACAATAGGAAGCATTTAGGTTTGCATTTCTCCATTGTGAGATCAATAAAGTTCATCTGATCTTATTTAAAGGTGCACTGCACTGTGGAAAATTTTGTGCGGAGGTACAAATACCACCAATTTGTAGTATCAACTTTACTGTATCTATGCAATTGCATGTAGTTTAATTCCACTCTGGGCAGGTAGCTCCACAAATTCATCCTGTAACCTGTCTTAGATGTGGTTATTGTGATACTTTTGAACATTTGGGACAAAAATGTTTTAGGTTGATTTTTTTATTGATTTAATGGCAAAGTACATACTGCAATTACTGGTATGAATTATGACCCTCAGCAATAAAGATTAGAGCTGTGGTCTGGAACAGCCTTGTGGAGGTTAAAGATTTTTCAAACTTCATGAGATCTTCTGGACCAATACCTTGGTCAAATAATCAATATATAGACCAAACCTAGATCTGACAACAGCAGAGAGGGCAGACTTCTTTCACCAGCTGCTGGTATGATGTTTCACTATAGCATATCTTTTGTTTTGTACTCGTCTTAATACGAAATATTGAGAAATTTGCTTGAATAATTAGTGTTTTATCACGTGCAGAAGGATAATCTTTACAATTCAGATATGTCTAACTGCTCTATAGTAATTGAAGATCTGCACTTGTGATAGATTGAAGTCAAGATTTGAGGGCAGCCCTTGGAATGAAAACATTACAGTGCACTATTAATACATTGTTGAAAGAAATCGAGCCGACGAGATTAAGTTCAATCAAAATATCAGAAATTTGTATGGAATCAAATTACTACGGGATTGAGTTCTGAGTGTGTTATTTCCACAGTGCAGGCTGTACCCACCACGATGACAACAACAGTGAGGCAATTCTGAATGAAACAATCCTCTTGTTTGAGGCGTCTGGATGGGGCAGGCCTCTGGGGCTGGGTGGGGGTCGGGGCCTATAATCATCCCATAGATCTATGAATTCTCCTGTCGTTCCCGTGGAGGGGGGCGCGCGCTCAGGCTGCGTGTACGGGCCCTCCTCACGGACCAATCAGCGCTCAGATAAACACTGGGTTGCGTCATTGTTATTGTGGAGCTGCTCCGGACGTTTCGACACAAGTTTGCTATATTTACTTCAAAACTGCGGAACGAAAGGACCAGCACTAGACCTGAGCGACATGTCGCTTCAAAAAGACGGCTCATCCGACGGGAGTCTGCACGGTAATGTATTTAAGATGACTTTATTACAGGTTTATAACGTCATTCTCCGTATGCTAGCGCTAGCGTACTGGACTATGGCTAGTTAGGTTGAACAAAACACCTCGTCCATGTCCATATTCCCTGTGTGTTTTAATGCTTTGTGGATATATCAATCCATAGATCAAACCAATAAACAGACAACAACAAAACAGGAGATGAGTTGAACAGTCTCCAGGTGAAGCAGCAGTTTGTTTACACCTGTGCTGCCCACTGCTGTAAACACAGCTGTGTATCATAACGACGTGGCTCTTCTGATTTCAGGATCATGGGTTGATCTGCATTTCAGTGGGAGCAGTTCTCAGTCGAGTAGTCAACATGAGACTGAGACCCCAGGAGAGAGCCAGGAGGTGGACCTGGAGAGACTCCTGCTGGAGGCTCAACACGAGTCAGGGAAGAGCAGCTCCAGAGGCAGCTCCCAGTGCAACAGGTTGGTTCTGCTCTTTTCTAAATACAAGTCATACAAAAGTCACACATTCATGCTTTATGTAGAAATTTCCATTACATATGTTTTTACAGATCCAACAGGATGATAGGGAAATATCCCTATCCAACAGTGTATTGAAATATTGATGTTTTTCCTTTGGTTTATAGCCCTCTCAGAGCCCAGACCCCTCTCCTTGTGTGGAAAGGCTCAGAAGGAAACAGCACACAGTCAGATGAAGACTTTCAAGAAAGAAGACGAGAAGTCGACAACCTGCTGAAGAAAAATGCTGACTGGATTTGGGATTGGTCCAGTCGACCAGAAAATAATCCACCCAAGTATGTTAAATGACATGGCTGTTTGAATAAAGTGTTATTAAGCCTGAATATAATAAAGTTTTAACATCTGATAGCCTAAGTCCAAACACATAACACAACACTGGAATTGAATCCTTGCCGTTTGTTTTAGATACATGATACATGTATATTTGATTACATGTGTCTAATGTTTGAGGTTTTCTGTTAGAAATTCATAAGTGTAAGGCATCTGCATGTGCAAAGAGGCCAATGTGACATTAATCAGCCCACCATTTATTATAATTTATTCAGACCAATGAAAAATTAATGTGTCTCTCTGTAGGGAGTTCCTGCTGAAGCACCCCAAGCGCACGACCTCTCTCAGCATTAGGAACACCAGTGTCATGAAGAAGGGAGGCATTCTATCGGCTGATTTTCTGAAGCTGTTTCTGCCATCGTTAATCATTTCCCACATCCTCGCTGTTGGACTGGGGTAAGCAAAGTCAAACCTAATGAATGAGAAGAATATACTCTTGTGTGGAACCAAAAATAGACACTTTTATTATTTACAAAATATTCATACACATCTGATTTTGTACTGTTTTTTACTTTAAGGATATACATTGGAAAGCGCCTGACTTCCCATAGCCCCTCAACCTAAGCTGGGCACAGTATAGGGGCCAGACCATGGGGCCAGAGAGCCATGCCTTGAAGGGGACTCGTCTCCAGAGCAAGAGGGAGCAACACCGAGCATAAGTTTCCAAAGTTAAGTCATTACTGCATCCGATCCACCTGCTGCTGCTGCTCATATCTGTACATTTGTGTCTGAGCTGTTTGTTTACATTAAAATCAACCAAATCTATTCTATTCTCAACATGTAAAGAAACATATTGAAAGGGATCATTCGTGATTGTTACGGTCAGCAATTGTTCATCTTTTTTTTTTATGTACAAATGTATAAAGAACAAAATGATCCATGTCTTTAAGCTAAATAAAAAAGTTAAATCTTGTCTATCAATTTCTTGCATTGACATTTAATCAAAGGATAACATTTAAATGAACACAATTAAATTTTATTGAACTTTGGTCAAAATAAACAAGTGAATACATTGCCACCATGTTAGGAATCATTGGACAAGACAATGCATGTGTTTTAATGTCAAAAAATGTGTAGTCAGCCTTCATTTCTGCATTCACAACTACAGATATCCACATTTGCATCAAAATGTAGGTGAAAGTCTTAGATCAAGAAATGAATAAGGGCACATGTATGAGGCTTGTCTCAAAGTTCTACCTATAAACATTATCTGGAGGCACATTGTATATGTGCAATTATCCTCCTTAGTGATTTCATAGACGGCCACTTTTAGCAGCAGTGCATGAACAGAACTCTATAAAATAGGATTTACAAATAATGCACATGAGGTTTTTTTTCTTAAATGTCTGGGGACATAAACTGTAGCTGTCACAGATAGTAGATATTAAGGCTGCAGATTCCCTTTGTCCTGGGCCCCAACTTGTGCCTTGTACTTTTCAGCCAGCGTCCTGAAGTATGGAGAAAATAAAGTATTTTCACATAGACATGTTTGTCATTGTGTTCAGCAGTGGATCTGAGCAAAAAAAATGTATTAACCCTATGTTTGAGATCTGCTCAAAAGACAGTGGTGTGACTGAACATTTCCAGCTCTATACAAAAAAAAAAAAACATGCAAATCAAGAAATATGTTTTAATACATACGTCTAAATTTAAAAACACATCTGTAGTTTTAGTTTCTTTTATTATGTGGATGACAACGTGTTTTGAGTAGATACAGTCAGTGAAATTATGTCATTGTATTGATGGATAAAGTAAAAGGGAGGGAAAGAAAGAAAGTCCATGTTCCAAAGTCATGGTCTCTTCCACCTGTAGCTTGGCCTAAATAAATGGCCAGGGGGGAATGTTACAGTCAAGCCTATTGGCCAATGATGCGTGCGTCAGTGGGCCCAAAATCTTCAAAATGGTGTTACAACTTTGACAAGACGTCGTTGTTAGGGCTTCCAAAAGTTCTGTCGTTAAATTATGAAATGAAGGCTTAAAATGTCAACACAAACACCAACGTTCAAGAGTTTGACCTCCAGGGAGAGCTATTCCATCAATTAGGCCCGAATTGGGCATTCTGGGTCAGGGGGCATGTTGATTGCCCTGATGCCAAAGGCAAAAAACAACCTAAGCTCAGACTCAAAAAAATAAAACAAGCCAATGGATCAACCTCCTGTGGCAAAAAAGTCGAGACGTGCTTTCAGCTTCTTGACCCGGAGGACAACAAGGCCGTTTCTTCTTATACAGATAGACAAGTAGTAGGCTTAACTACACAGGTATGGTAAAAGCCCTATCCACTGGAGTCCCAAAATCTTTTAATTGATTTTGTCCTGGAAAATGTACAAGTTGTTGGTGGCTGCCACAGCTATCACATTATCTTTGGGGTGCCATGCAGTATGCAGGATCTTTTTGTTGAAATCCAGGCTGTCTACGCTGATTTCATCCTTCTTTCTCTTCCCACCTGTGGAAACTTTCCGCGGTTTGAGAGTGGCTCGTGGTTTGCTGCTCTCTCGGGAAGCCTCCAGTGTGATATCCCTACGGGTGTTGCGGTCAAACATTCGGAAGAAGTTATTGTAGGACCCAGTCATTATGGCACTTGAGAGAAGAAAATAAATAACTTGAGTTAATACACTCCAAGGGAACAGGGTTGAATGTAAATTATTAATAGATCTACCTGTCACTTCCATTCCAGCAGCACTCAAACTTGTCAAAGATACAGTCATTTTCATACAACGAGCAGAGTTTACTGCGAAGGTATTCATGGACCTATACAAACAAAGAGTAAAATGATGTTCAATCAAAATTTAAAATAAACCAACATTGACGCATAAAAATCCTCACACACCTGATATGTTTCCACTGGCCTATTTTCCATATTTAGGTCCCATACTTTGACAGAGAGGTAGTCACGTGTCATCATGTAGCGTCCACTGTGACTAAACTTTACGTCCGAAATGGAGGAAATAATCTCAGAAAAAAAGGACCTGCTGCTTGGATCTTCAGGCTCTTCAAAGACTTGAAAATGAAAACAATGACTGATAGTTTTTTTAATAGTTTCTTAATGCAAATGAAAATTTTATATAGAAATATGATAATTGTAAGCTAGTGAAAATCAGTGTATCTAAAGTATACACACTGAACTTTTTCTTTTATAGCTAACTGTACAAATACACAGTTTGCAAACAAAACATCTTGAAAGGGAAATACTTACATTTGGAGTGCCTATCACATAGTGCTGCCGCTCGCATGTCACAGAGGCGGATTGTGCCTTTGCTACTGCTGTACACAAATACATTGCATTGGTGTGGATGGCACTCCGCAGCTGTGATTACTTCTGTGAGTTCTTCCATGTTGGCAGGCTTGATGTCTACAATATCTGTGGGAAATGGTTAAAGGAAAAATCCCACAACCAATGGTAATGGAGAAAAAACAGATCAGTTCAGTCGATGAAAAAGGATACTAAAACTTCTGTCTGTTATTTCCAAGTGCCATAGATTTATTCTTAGGTCATCTGCAGAGAGGTATGTCTCATGGTCACTATTTACAGAAATGGAATTTATGTGATAGGTGTGCGCATTTGCAAAGATCCTGCGTGGGCTCGCTTCCACCATAAGATCCATTGGCATCAGCACCGGTACCTGAAAAGCATTCATTATGCAAATTCAGAGAGGTGCTGTTATTTTGTAAAGAATCAAAACTTACCCGTAATGAGGAGATTCTGAAGGGATCTCTAAGACGACCATCTTCATCTTTTAGATTGTAACCGTCTGCTCTTTTATCCCTTTCACTAATTTTCCACAATTTGATAGTTTTATCTAACAAAATATGTTTGATTAGAATGTTTAATTAAATAAAAGTATCAGCCTTACAAAAAATAATGGAAAAAAATGCATAGTCCTTAGTCTTACCATTTGTTGAAAGTAGAAAGTGGGCAGCATTTTGTTGCGGTAGCCATCGTATTTTATTTATCTTCTCCTCAATTTCTAAACTTTTCAAATAATCAAATTCTGGCTCATGACTTTGAAAAGTGCTATAGACATTGTATTCTCCACGCAAGTGTGGGCGATTCTTTGACTGAAATAATAACAAATCCGTAATATTAAAAATAGGCAGGAAGAGCTGAAAAATACACTAACTTCATACTGATTCTTACATTACGACATTCATTCTACACATTTTAAAACAGAAAAAATGTGCATTGAAAACATGTCCATGAACTGTGTATAATTAAAGACTTCAGATATGACTTGACAAGATCAATTTAACACCAATGCTTCAAATGTATGAATCTTACCTCCTGTTCATGTTGAAAAATGACTACCCTCCCTCCTTTATCTCCAGTTGCAAGTAATTCTCCAGAATAGTTAAATTCAACTGTAGAGATTATGTCAGCTGAAAGTGGGCACAAATCAGAGTGAGTCACACACAGCTGCACCCTGTGCTAGCACGATAGTCTTTGGTACTGGATGTGCAGACAGCCAGTACAATAAGTGCAAGTGTTAAATTGTATTTATGGATAGATGAACATCAGTATGATGTCATTACACAACTTATGGACGCAGAGCATTTACGTCATGGACGCGGTCGCTCCCCTTTAATAGCCTAGCCACAAATTAGCATGAAGCTAAAGTGCGGCACACTTGCATGAACAGGCAATGGTTTACGCTTATGTAACACATATAAACAATGCATCACCCATGAGCTTCGCCATACCGTCCAGTCAACCTTATACGTGTTATCGATTATGTCCTGGTGAGCCAGAGCCCATGATGCATCATCACACCAGCTAGCTAACAGCCGCCTGTAGCCTAGCTTCACAGCTAACGGTGGCTACTTACCTTCCGCAACATCTTCATCTATTGCTCCTTTCACTTGAGAGAAACACCACTGGAAATCATTTCCACTTGCAACTCCTGCAAAAAAGAGCACATCATCAGACACTGTGAGAACGCTGCTTTTGCCACTGCACATGTATATGACTGGCACATTTTGACAACTAGCAACTTAGCGCTGAGATATGTGGCTAACTTGCAGATTCAGGCCATCACACAGAGCTAGTGAGGTGGAGCGCGTCCCCTCTTCAAAAGTCGCTTACCCGCCATTGCTTCATTTAGCAGCTTTTGTTGTACACAGCGTCCGATACCTTATGAACCAATGTGGCTTGCTAAGGGAAATAGATAGCATCCAAAATCAGTGTTGGACTCGGGTCCAGATCTGTCAAGACCACGGAAATTATCCGTGATTTTTTTCCTCCAAAATGGCGCACAGTACAGGGCGAAATGACGTCATACACACACGCTCAGATCCTGTCTCCATCACCCACGAGTGGAACCTGCAGCTCTATTTCCCCTGATTCCTCACGGACACTGCGTGTGCAGCCAGGAGAACTTATATCGCCTCACTTTGGCCATGTTGGGAGCATCGCTTTTAAGTTGACAAAGTTTCTGTGTAGTGGTCCCGAGACACGTGCAGGGAAGGTTATTAAACAAATATCCAAATAGACTCAAGAAAACACAGGAGTTAAAGTACGTTTTTATTATTAAACGCTGTTGCAAATTGATCCAGCATTTTAGCAATTGCATACATTTCTATAGGCCTACCACGTTTACTGCCAGAAGTCATACTGTCAAAATATGATAAAGTTTTCAAACCATCGCGTCCCTTGCATTCGGACTATTTTACTGCAGTTGTTGATCTTCATGATGCATTCTTCGCTGCAAAGGTAATGCACCTGACACGACTACGTGCGTTTAATATGTGATCATCGAGTGACACCTAGTGGTACAATGTGAGAATTGCATCACCATTGATTTGATTCTAAAGTTCTAAAGTAATCATTTTATTTTATCTTATTTATGACGAATTTATCGAAGCTAATCTATGGTTTAAAAAAAACAACAACAAAGTGCATATACACGTTTATCCATATAACACGGACACACTGTTAGGGTCTATTGGTCATTATATTTATATAAGCTAGCTAATGTATTGCACAGCAACATGTATTAAGGTTATGGTATACTTTAGTGTCCTCATAGAAAAAATGTGTACTCTGCATTTGACCCAGCCTTTTTTGTAACAGTGGTCGATACAGTGCAGCGCCCACGGGACTCATCTCCAGATGTTGACGCTCTTGATCTGGACTGCCTTCGCTGGAGGATATTTCTATAGTGCATGTTTTGTGTGGTGAGGGAAACCTGGAGGAAACCGACACAGACTCCGTTAATAAATCCCGCAACTTTCTTACTGTGAGGCAAAAGCGCTACCCACTCCATTTTTACCATATTACCATATTTTACTCTATAATAATAATAATATTAAATCCATGTTGTTTAGCATATGGCATACATGATGAAATATACAATATGTATTTAATTTAGGTCATTGACCTTTTATAAAATAAAACATCCCACTCAGATCTCAAAATCTAATTTTCAGGAGAGTCCTGTAATCTTTAGTGGATGAAATACAAGGTGTTGCCCTAGTGCTAAAAATGAAAGTGCTGACCATACAATAATGTTATGATTCTCATGATTTATTCAGATATTTCACTGGGGGAAAAAGCAATGCTTCTAAGTTATGAAATGGTCTGATATAGTGTGGGTAACAAATTATTCTCATTAACCCCAACTGTAATTATATGGAAACAGCCAGTCTTAATCTTGTGCATATGGTGCCTGAGAGCTTTGTTTGTTTTCTACATCAGCAGAGTTTCCTGGAGGTGGCAAGTGAATAAATCGAGATGCACCCTGCAAGACCTGGACCAAGTCTCACCTAAACCTTCTCCCGGCATCTCCCAGGCTCCACATCCCTCTCATCACTCACAATGCATCCCCTGGGAGCCGGCGGAGCCCAGGCCTGGAGGTTAGCAACACACTATCTATATATATAAAGGTGGACCAAGTCTACTGCTGTATTGGCTGCACTAGAAGTTAGTTAGTCATAGAAACAGAAATAGAACTGCCTTGACAAATGGCACTGGAATACTTTATTGGACAATTCCAAACATGAGCACTGTGGACAAATCCTATAGGCAACTTCATTCTTAAAACTTTATTCCTGAGCGTGATGCAGTCGTTTACAACAGTCGTCATAAATAACTTTAATAGTATTGGTTGTACAATTCTACAAGAATTCATGGGCGTCGAGAGAAAATAAAAGACAACAAAAGATACAATAAACGGAATTAAGTTCACTTTTTGCTGTTTTTTTATGTTTTTTTATTCCAGCTTGTTTATTGAGGTGCATAATTAAACCGATTCCCAACAGCGTTGAAATATGCAAAATGATCAATGCGTTTTAACAATGTCTCCGATATTAAACCCCAAATTAGTCTGGAGAATATTGCTGCTGGACCACTAAGCACTATTAAAAGCCAAGGAAAGAACAATGGTCTCAGCGTGAAGGAAAAACATTTGAATTAGGCCTAATTTGAGATTTAATAAACAGCACTTCTTAATTGGTGTGTACATAGTAGTATTGCCTGCATTTGTAGCAGTGGAGTGAGCGTGTGTACTGCATGTGTGGTGTGCCGTAGCTTCATCAGGTATAAGGAGAGATGTTGACTTTATTCCGAGCCTCCAGTAACACCACTGACTCTGATAGTTCCCCATCCCGGTGGGAATTCATTATAAGACAGCTAGAGGCTGCTTGTGGATGGTTACTGTGCTGCCCGTATGTTAACTTGTCGCTATCGCACAAGGCAAACATGTGCTGCAGCTGCTTTCTCTGGCTGTGGGCAACCTGGAGAGATTGATTGGTGAGCCTTCTGTTTTATCCAGGATCAGGGCCACATTCAGTAGACATGGTGCCTCCGGAGAAGCAGCCATTTTCCCCAGAAAATATGGCTCATTACCAGCACAGACAAAATGAAGGTATATTGACTTTCTAACATCTTCCAACATACCTATTTCTAAGCCATTTACCGACCAGTGTTTTTTAAGTCTGAAAATCTTTACTTCATTTTTACTGCAAGCGAGTCCAAAAACACTTTGTTGGGCCCATGAACTCATCATCATATTTATGCCTCCTAAACTCTCCTGGCCTTTCTGTGTAAATTTTCCCTGGACATAAATACCGATACTTATGTGTGCACACAATCCCTTCCCCCTCTTCTGGCCCATCAGACAGATTTTAACACAAACCATTGGCCAGTGTCTGCTCTGCTCTGGGGCATGTGCTATGTCCAGACCCTCAGTCTTAACTCTCACATGCACATACGCGCACACACCAAAACAGCAAAGGCAAACATAATCAATTATTCAACACTCTTGTTTTGGCTTGTGTCTATGTGTGTTTCTCACTTATTATTTTTGTTGTTTCTATAGTGTCCAGTGGCGAGCTAACAGCCAGGAGGCCTGATGGGTGAGATACGAGGCCCGATGACTTGAGGTCTGTCTAAAGTCTTTCTAATTTAGATGGCAGGAGCGTAATTTGCATGCGCAGCCTTCAACGTGATCTCATTGTCTGAACGAGATTATCCTTGCGGCTCCCTGAAACTGAAGGTTGTCAAAGACTTGGCGCGGAAGACGAACCTTTGTCTCCTTGTTTATTTCCCCGGAGTGGAAAATTTCAGTGTGGTCATTCGCTGTAGTTAAAGAAGCGCACACATAGACTGTCTCTTTAAATGGCCCGCTGTCCTTTTAGCTTTTATTATTTAGCAGCTGTGGCTATTTGACCAGGCTTTAAAAGTGCACATATACGTGTAGATTTATGCATATTTTACTTGCACTTTCCCCTCTGTCAGTGTTCCCCTTCATGCACTAGATGGCACTATGGCACTTATTATTCAATGTCAACCTCCCTTGCCCATCCTGCAGAAGAAAGTCTTGTGCTACTGACACAAGTGGTGATCACAAATTGCTTGTTTTCCCCAAGCTAAAACAAAGTTGATACGCATCTCAGGAAATGGCTTTTGCGTATATGCAGTTATTAATAAACTAGCAGATTTTTATGTCTTTTTCATTTTAAGACGCCATTATGGCATCAAACTCTTAATGGATAAGACTATTGTATAGAGGAAAGACATAATAATTGGCTGAGTTTAAGGCTCTCTATTGAAATTCGGACAAATACGCTCAGATTAAATTGGACAGAAATGAATCATGATGGTGGGCTGCTGTATATTAGACGTGGATCCTTGCAGCAATGATGTCCTTGTAACAGATCATATTGTAAATAAGATGGGTTAAATTGCACTTGTAGCTTCCCTTCAAACAGTCAAGCCGGTCTCTGGGGGCGTAAGCGAGTGCTGCCGACTCTTCCTCTAATAACGGCAGACAATGAGATCCTAGCTCATAACATAGGCCTCCACTATATAGAACTTGTATTGGGGGCTTAGCAGCTAATAAAGTGGCAAGTCTTGAAATCCATGTCAGAAGAGGAGAGTGCCACAGGGACCCTTCATAACACTTGTATGTGCCGGTTCAACTGCGGCGTAAAGGTTACACATCTAACCTGATGAGTTGCCCTAAGACCCACAATTTTACAACACTCTTACTTATTTAAAGAAGTGAGAAGAAGCAGGGATTGTCAAATGTGAAATGAACGCTCCCTCTGTACGTCTTGGTGTAAAATCTAAGCGGGAGAAAAACACAATTGAGTTTATTAATTGAGGTTTCTAGGTGATACGCTTGTTTTGACACACTTCTGTTAAGGTTATTATTTTTGAGAATGAAAAACACATCAATTTTCTTGAGTAAATGGCGCTGCCCTGTGAGTTCACTAAGCACAGTGGCAGTAATTAGGCGTGATTGCTCAGCCCGTGTCTCCTAAATGGCTTTCCCTCCAGTGATCCTGTCCTTCACTCCGGCACAGACACTCCTGCAGCATTTCCACCCACTTTGTTTGTGCCTCTTTGATCCACAGTATTCCAGTTAAAGTTACACCCATGTGCTGCAAGTTGAAACTTTGGACATTGTTGCTCTGGGGAACATTATACCCGTGGCGCCTTGTGCTTTTGTCCTTCCCTTTAGCAACAGAACTCTCCTATGGTGCCGGACAAAAGACTACTCACGACACCATTTTACGATCTCTGTGATGATACCGGTCTCTTCTCTCCTCCTTTTGCATGTTCGCCTGTGCGCTTTTGCAATTTTAAAGTTGGAAAACTCGCCATCACATCATCGCAGCTCCTTCTCTCTGGAGACAATTGTTGATTTGGAGCAAAGGACAATGAAGTAAAAAAAAATACATCATCTGTCCTTTGACTTGCAAACAGCAAAACTAATTTAAACCAGCACAGCCTTTTGACTTTTCCTTGATAGATTTAAAAATAAAATGGTAAAAACAGATGGTAATAAGTTGATAATTGAATCATAAAACCCCAACTATAATTTCTTTTTTCCAATTATATTGATGTGCATTATCAGCCTGACCACAATCACGGAGCTTATTGTGCACTGGGTGATTGAGGAAATATGACGTGCGCATGCCAATTTGCGTGTGTGTGCGTGCTTGTGTACTAGAATTAGACATGCATGTTAAGTCTAATTGGAATGGCATTAAAAACCATTTTCGACACCAACGGCAGAAGCTAGTGCGTGAAACACTTTAAGGCGACAACAACAAACAGGCTGTATTAAAACAGGGCGTAAAGTGCTGCAGTGTCTTGCCTCTCAGTCTGTCTAATCACTATGTGACTGAAACATTCATGGTAGACTAGATCAGTTCAATATTTAATTTCTCAACAAAGACTACATGGTGGAACAGATGCTCAAACTTTGTATGTTTCTCAAGAGAGACTGTGTCACTTTATGGACGCTCTTCCACGCAGGCATCCCGGACAGGATTTTTCTTTTATTTCTCGGGACCTTGCACCTTTTCTTTTTTGCACAGTTTTTTTTAACAGTAATGGAGCAGTTTTCATGTGTGAGTGTGATGTATGAGTCAAAATAAAAAAAAAGCATGGTCTGAATACATCAATTGTTTACATCCAGGGGCACTGATGGTGACTCAAGTAATGGGAAGCACATTAGACATGCACCAAGGTTGCCCTTTCGCCTGCATGTCACATATCAAGTGAAAATTTGACTGGGCATGTTTACATAGGATTTCTTCATCTGCCTATTGAAACCCCTATGGGCAAGCTGAAGGTGAGGAGAACTAAGATTATTATCCCCGCTTTTCTCCGAGGAGCTTTTCTTTATGCACACCCTCACAGATGTCGACATTTGGTTAGGCGGTGTTCGGAGAAGCCTCAGATTATCCGCCGCTTCAGGAAGTCTGCTTGGCTAAAGTTAGTCCTGGTTACTTTTTCGTGCACCTTCTCTCGAGTGTGCGCGCTACTGTTGGGAGACCCCTAGACCCTAGTGCTTAGTCACACGTCTGGGCAAAAATAAAACTGAATCGAGTTCGATGCGTGTTGTCCAGTCAAATTCAGAGTCTGCAATGGTGTTCTCTCCCCTTGTGCAAAAACTTAGTAACTGAAAACCCAGCAGATGGTGTACTATATGTCATAATGCTATTAAATCCAACAGGAATTGACAATTGAAAATCCTACCCTGGAGTTTGCCTCTTTTAGCTCTGGCATAATCTTGCGTGGATTTCAATTGCAAAGTCAAAGAGAATGGTGAAGCACATGGGGACTAGTTATCTGGGGCAAACGCGGTCTAAGGTTGACAATGCAAAGGCTATGTTTATGGGCATCACACTTCGCTATACTGAATGTTTCCCAGAGTAGAAGAACATCCTCCCCTGAATTCTATTGCTCTTCCCACGTCCCAGTGCTGCTGTGGAAAGTAGGCCAAGTGGAGCACCAGGGCGTTGCTTTTTTAAGATGATCAGTTTGTCAGTGTTTTTGTTGAGCGTGTGTGTGTGTGTGTGTGTGTGTGTGTGTGTGTGTGTGTGTACGCTCAGGACGGCTATTCAAGTGGCTGTAAGAACAAAGAGCAGCATTATACAATTTGCTGCACTTCCGATAGCATGAAAGAGGGAAGATAAAAAAGAAAATAGGGACAGGACAAGCACACATGAAACAAAGATAAAAATTTGGCTTGTGTAATTCATTTACTTCTCTACTTCCACCTCTTTGTTGGAGCAGTGGGGTCCCTTGCCAGTAGCACTCCCAGGCAGGTTCACACTGTACTGGGGATGGCAATGATTATTTTTAGCTATTGCTGTGCTACTTTCACCTTGACTCTTCCTCTGTCTTGACATCATAATTAACATTTCTGTTAATAGTGGTGCACCTCAATATGGAGACTTTGCCCCGTGCTTCTGTTTTCTTGTTAAAAAATAAATAAAATTATATACACTTTGAGCCACAGTCACTCCTTTTGGGTAAAAAAAAAACATACATAGTATTTGATGTGGACTCTAGCAGGTGAGAGTGAGGCTGGCAGCGCCTCAATCAGACAGGTCAGCGGTGGAATGAGTACTCCTGAGTGCTGTGGCAAAGGCTGGCGCGCACATGGCAAGAAAAAAACTCCACCAAGGTTAAAGCTGATGTATCCCGTTTTTAAGGCCACGACGCAACACGTGCCCACATCATACTTACTGATGAGATTTTTAATAGACCTCTAAGTCTGATTTGGCACCTGACACTTATATTAAAGAGTAAATATGGGCCAGTCAGGGCTACATTCAAATTTCCATCAGGAAAATGAGTGACGGGGTAATAAGTTTTCAAAAAAATAATTTCTGAAAGGCTCACAAAACATTGATGGACACAATTGAAGACGTGGCTGAGAGAGCGCCGGTGCCATGGTCATGTGTATTTTGGTCTAAATTTCCAGGGGATATTTTAGATGTTAATAGCCCTGAAGTGGTCTCGGTTTCTTATTTAATTTCTCTCGCCTTCTTTAAATGTAATTCGCCCACAGACTTGCGCCGCGAGGCTCCAAACCGCGCAGAAACTCTTCTCATCATTTCCACAGCAGAATGAAAATGCAAATTGTGCGCGCACGGGCAATGCCCTTGACAGCAACTCACCACTGCACACAATTAACACGAGCGCTCTGACAGAAGTTAGTGACGAAATGTGAGGTCACGCCGCGTGTCAGAGGCTGCGCGTGTTTATTATAGACGCACAGCCTCATATAGACGCTTTGATAGGGTCAGGTCAAGTCAATAATTATAATGATAATAATAATAATAATATGTTGGCTGATATTTATAATAATAACAATGAAAATAATGATATGAATTATCCTTATATTAATAAATATGGCCTAATATTGTAAGAGTTTTTAAACAATTGTTGGCTACCGTTTACGCACTATATACACAATGCGTAATTTCTGAATATTTTTTTTCTTTTATTTTTCATATAATTACACACTCCATAAGTACTAATAAAGATGACCATTGTAAAAGTGAAGTAAAAGCACACACAGACACAGAAAAACACACAGAGACACACACACAGGCCTTTGGCTTTTGGCCGCCTCGTGCACGTGCATCACCCGGAGCTGTGTGGAGATGTGTTGGGGGCGCGCACCGCTCTTTGCCTCCTATCGACACAATGATCTCAAGTGTAACCAACGAGGGGCGCTGTCCGTCTATCAGCTATTACCACTTGACACCAAAAGCCCAAGTGATTGATCTCATCACTCACGGCCATTTGTGTTTTTACTCTTGTTATTAACTATAAGAGCGAGCGCGTTTTAATAGCAGATTTATATTTGTGACACGAGGAATTCCCTGGGCGCACTTTGCAGGCCTTATAAGCCTAAACTAAGTTCCAATGCAAATTCAATCCAATAAAGTCCATTTTAATATTTGACAATTTAATAAACCATTTAAATGTGGACTTCTGCATTTCATTTTAGAACCTGGATTCATAAAGTGAACGAGTTAAACATATTGGAATACATGCACGATTGATGCAATTAGCTATTTAAATAATGGCTGCAAATAAATGCAGCCATTTTATGAGCACCTGCAAAATATATGAAAGAATAAATGGGGCCTTGTGACAAGAGAAAATGTCATCCCTCTGAACAAAAGTGGGGCTAAACAATGGAACAAACAATGTGCAGTAAACACAGCGTGGGCTGCTGTCTGTTTGTGGCATATGGATTTGGAATGACGCTTAACTGTAGGCGTTTGATTAATATTTAATAGAAAGGGTTCATTTAAAACACGAGATGCGCCAGGAGTCTTGTTGTGTTTGCTGAGAACACTTCTACTTTTCCTCTTCCAATCAGCGCATTAAGGCACAATGCAGGTGAGCGCCATAATCAAAGTGTTGTCCCAATAAAGTGTGCGATGGACAGCTGGCCAGCGGCCGCCTGATTGACTTTGCCTTGACATCTGGGAGGCCCGCTGGCCCCTGGCACGCGTATAGGCTGATGTCGCCATTTACATGCAAATTTGTGGAGATCATGAGGGCCTCGCCCCGTAAATTCACACAAAAAAAGAAGACGTCACCCTCAATACGGAGCAGGCTCGTCCCGGCAGAACGGGAGGTCTTCCAAGTCACTGCGTGGGCATTTTAGTGGGAGCCACGCGCGTCCCCAGCACTTTGGTTTTCTCTCAGTGGTCAGGGCTGTCTCTACGGGGGCTCGCTCTTTGTGGCAAGTCAATAGAAAGTATGAGATAAGAGCCCCATGTCATTACGCGCCTTGAACATAACTCAATCCAAAGATCAGCCGTAGTCAGCCGTCACTTACCGCCCTTCAAACTGCCTGTACAAGACGCGCTAATGCGCCCGCCTAAAACAAACCCTTTATTTCACCTAATGATGGAGAGCGCATTTTCCACGGTGTAAGCCCAGCGCACAGATGATCCCACAGAATGAGCTGAGACGGATTCAGGCTCCGCGCCTCAGCGTGTGCAGCAGCTGACTCCCTCTCTCCACGTCCAGATGGCTCCTGCACACAGATTTGCATTCATTTTCCTCTCTAATATCTTCTGAAATAGCGGGGCAGCTGCATTTGTTGTCAAATACGGTTTAAAAGTCCCTTTCAGGACAGCATCGTTACCTACGTGACGGCTGCAGACCCATTCTTCCTCTCCAGTCAACGGTATCAGATCTAAGAGGATTTGCCTCAAAGTCTCCTAATTTGATAATCAGATTTAAATCGCCCTGGCGCGTGTAATCACGGGTTAACTTCTAATAAGCGACTTGAGATGTGTGCAAAAACTGCTAAAACTGTGTTTGCAACCCCGCTGCAGCAGACAAAACACTTGCGTACATTTCCTCTCACTTAAACTGATAAAACAAAGACATTTATTCATGAAAAAATATATATAATAAAATATATAATTTCAATAAAATATTTAAAGTGTATATAAAAACTCCACCGCATATTTTTTTGATTGGGCAATTTAGAAAGAGATCGTGTCGAGGTGAAAGCAACAGCTTATAATTCACTTATCTTTGGCAGCAGCTATTAACCCTCAGCTGCAGCGAGATAGATGGCAAAGGATCCAGCACATGTCTCTTCTCCGCGCCCCTCCTCTTGTCCATCCTCTCCTCCTTTCACCACTAATGAACCGGACAGTGCTTTGGAAAATACACTGGAATAATAAGATTTCACATCAGAACAGAAAAGACACACAGGCATGTTTTCCTTTAGTTGCTTTAATGAGATGATAAAAGATGGCTGTGCTTAAACAAGGGACACAAGAAAAGAAAGACAAAAAAAGTGTCCAAAAAGTGACCTCAACCAGGGAAAAGCCAGGCCATTGATTTGCCCTGGCGCAGAAATCCAATTGCTTACACGATGGACTATTACGCACATAATTATGGACACTATTATTGCGTCTGTCTTTACAAACAACATTTATTTGTTGCTGTTTTAATACAAATCAATCTAATAGAATATAGACATATACTTGCACAAGTCTGGTAAATTAATACAATAAATATGTGCAATTAATTACACTTTCCCGTTCCAGATAACACCCAATTAAAGAAGCAAAGAAACTTGATCTTCCTTATACTTGAAATGATTTATGGACGGTGTTCACACTGCCGCAGCGATGCTCCCGACACATAACCGAATAAATCAATTTGTAGTAATCAGAATCAAATTAAAGTTAATAAATATATCAATTACTACAATTCCTCTTTAATTTTACGCAATAAATCATTCGCTCTGCTTTCATTAACTCTCCTAAAACGAGACATTAAGAGGCGATTAGTATTGTTATAATTATTATTTGTCTGTATTAGTTTATTAGGTGTGATGTTACGCCCTGCTCTCAATTGAAAAAAGTCCAAAACTCACCGCGGCTGGGGCCTAAGCACGAGGCAAAAGTAGCGCGAGTGTTGTGGGCTGCGTGGACGAGTGGAGCGCGCCCGCCTGCCTGCCTGCCGCTGCTCTGACAGGAAGCGTCACGGCTCCATATTTGGTCAAAACCCCGCCCCCTGCCGCGTCACACTCTGACAGCGCCTCTCCCGTGGGTTTAGAGTTTTGGCTCCCGGGAAAGATTTCAGTCCTCGGGGAAAGAGGGCTTAGTTTTGCATGTTCCCATCCATCGTGCACGACGCGCAAGGGCCCCTTATCCAGCTCTCCTGTGTACGAGGAACACCTCCACTGGTGATCAGCCTTCGCCCGTGTGTTTGTCTTGCGGAGAAGCAGCGAGCAGGCAGCAGCAGCAGCAGCAGCAGCAGCGTGTTCTGCAGGAGTGGGGTTTTTTCATTTACAACTAGAAGAAGAAGAAGAAGTCCTGAAGGTTTTGGATGCGGGTGCTTCAGGGATGTGGGCACTTTGAGAGCAGCATCACCCACCAACACAAACAACTGACATCGATTTTTCTGTGAATAGCACCAAAAACAAAGAGGAACAATAGCGAGACAACAACAAAATCTTGTCTCTTCTTGAACACTTTTTTGCAGCGTGTGGATACGGCTCTAACTAAGTAGTGCACTTTGAGAATTGTTCACATCGGACGGACTGAAGAGGGAGGCAAGACCTGTGGACCGGGTTTGCTCTCTATCCCGAGACCCCGAAGGATAACTTGGACGCTTTTTAATTTCCTTCGCTTAATTTCACAGGAGGCTCGCTTTTTTCAAAATTGTCCTAAATGTTTGGGATTCAGGAAACTATACCGCGAGGCGGGACAACGATGAAGGAGGAACCGCTGGGTGGACTGAACTCAGTCCGCTCATGGATGCACACAGCTGGGGTGGTGGACGCGAACACAGCCGCCCAAAGGTAACGCATTGCCAAAAAACTCATCTCCCTTCCCATGCCTCATCATATCGACCCCTCAATCCCCTGAATACTCTGTATCAATTACCCAATAAGTGCCCCCCCTTCGGCTCCCTTTGCCCGTCTTTCATTACACCGCATTATTGTGACAAATCAAGAAATCTCAAAGCCCAAATGTTTTCCATCCACTTCTCCCTCCATCCCATCATGCCGTGTCTCCCCGAGGTGTCCGCTGCTTAACCGACGTGCTCTCCTCTTTCTCCCTCTCCTTGTGTCTCTTCCTCCCCGCAGCGGTGTCGGCTTGGCACGGGCACATTATGAAAAGCAGCCTCCATCCAACCTCAGAAAATCCAATTTTTTCCATTTCGTCCTGGCGCTGTATGACAGACAGGGTCAGCCCGTGGAGATCGAAAGGACAGCTTTTGTGGACTTTGTGGAGAAGGAAAAAGTAAGCATCCTCTTTTCACAACACAATCAGGCACATGTGTCCAAATTACGGCGCTCTAAAAGGTTTTACCGGACTAGTCACGTGTAATATTGATCTGTTTAAAAACTCAATTGCTCCATGACAGACAGTCGTTGCAGCGCGTCTGGACCTAAACTGTGTTTTTCTCCACACACTTTCAACTTATTTGTGCCTCTTCTACTTTGTGTTCAACCCTTGTTTCTTGTCCAGGAACCAACCAGTGAAAAAACAAACAATGGGATTCATTACAAACTACAGTTATTGTACAGCAATGGTGAGTAAAGTCAAACAATATTTGTAACATCAGAAAAACAAGTAATTTCAGCCTAAAATAATAATCATAATAATAATAATACTATATAATTAGACTTTTAATAATTATAGTAATAATACACATAATGATGATAATAATAATAGGCCAATAATACCATTATAATTGTAACCCATAAATAACAACACACTATTTGTAAAAAAGATATTGAAAATTAAAAAGTAAAAATTTATACAAATCGCATCTTTTATTTTATTTTGTTACAAATGCTTCCAAGTATATTTTTTGGGGTCATTTATTGTTTACTGTTGTGCATTGAAACGTTGACCTTTTTTCTCTTTTGTTTTTCTGTGCACGCAGGCGTCAGAACAGAACAAGATCTTTACATACGGCTAATCGATTCAATGACGAAACAGGTAAGCTTTGATTCCACGTGCTTGCTGTATAATATTACGCACGCGGTGTATCCTAAATTATCTTTACAATTTTAAGGCATGAATAGTGTGCATGAATGAAACGCATAAAATGTAAGTATTTAAGTGAATTAAACGCGGTGGTTAATTGCCTGCATGTGGATACAATAAAATGAAATTAGCGCCATATAACAAGAGGAGACAGCTTCTCTTCGCAGCGTTCACGCGTGGCCATATCGTGTTGCAAAGTGAATTTTAGCCTGACACACTTGGACTTCTTTGTAGGCTCAGTTTGTCCAGCATTAAATTTTCAGCACTACGTCTGCTCCATATGATCTGATTTGACTTTGCAGCGAGGAGTCAAAGGTGACGGGCCAAACTCATTCCCACATTTACATACGCGCGATGCCTTCTTAGAAAAAAAAAGGAAAAAGAAAAAACTATTTCCATCCATTCTCTAAAGAGGCTGAAACACACACACATACGCACACACACACACACATATATATACACACACACATTCACACACCAACTTTTAACCCGCAGCTCACGTGTGGGCATTACAGGGGTCTTCCGTGCGCTCTGGGTCACCGTGCGTAATTATAATTAAGGGAATAAACTAGGTGGTGGCTTCACGTGTTGGCATGTTTTTTTTTTTTTACGCGCGCCGAATAGAGCCGTGCAGCCTCCTATGGCCCACCGGGTTCGCAGACAACATTCCTCCGCGAATGATCCAAGTCAATGGCGCAGAACAAGCAATTTATGGATTTCTGTTTCTACAGCTGGAAATAGCCACATAAATCAAAGCAGTATAGATAGATAATCGGCTTGAGGGAGGGAGGGAGGGAGGGGGAAATGCAGGGGCTTAGGCATTTGTCAGCAGGTCAAAAAGGCGAGATGGTTCTGATGTGTCACTGTGTTTTAAATTGAATTGGCCATCACACGCGTAGAAAAAAAAATCACAAAAAAAAAAAATCTGGTGAAAATGCTGTGTATTTCTCATGCGTAATAATTCAAAGAAAAGCCACGGCGATTAAAGCGTATTTACTCAATAACGTGGTTGTGTTTTCCACTTGGTGCCGGTTCAGCGCGGGGAGTGTAAAGTGTCTCCTCAGAAATAAGGAGCAAGAGGGAGGGAGAGAGGAGCGCCACAACTGATAGCTCCACGCCATCTGTTTCAGCCAATGCTCAAAAATTACTCAACCGTACCGCCAGACACCGCTTTTTATCCGCAGAAAGATCATTGTTAGCGGCTCAAAATAAACAACAGATTGCCCATTAACACTTTCCCCCAAATATCCCCAGATTATAAGCATATTGATGACACTTCTATTGGATCTGTCCTTATGAAAATCCTCTCCCCCTCTTCCTTCCTCTTCTGTCTGAGCCACCTAATAACGGCAGATTAAAAAAGAAATACAAATGAATTCAGCTTGTGTTGGAATAATTTTTGTATAATTGCATTTTTATTGCCACAGCCACGGAAATGTTGTTAAAAAATGTTTTATTAGCGGAGATTTAATTTCTGCAAATATTACTTTTTTTATATCGTTTAAATTGTGTATTAATTATTATAATTTTAAACACTGGGGAATTGCTGTGATTAGCTGACAATAATTCTTGCTTAGCCTCTGCACTCTTTTAATTTATTTGGCTGTCCTGACATCATGCTCTGATTTGTTTTATTAAGTGCAAAAGAAGCATGGTCGCTGATTGAAATTAATGGTAAATGTTGTGTTTTTTTTTTCTCTCCACAAGGCCATAATATATGAAGGACAAGACAAAAATCCAGAAATGTGTCGAGTGCTCCTCACCCACGAAATCATGTGCAGGTAAGCATCCCCATAACTACATATTTATCCCATGCACTTCCTGTTTTGTAATATCACAGTCCCTACAATAAGTTTTGACATATGACCATGTGATGCGCCCATTTATGGCTCCACTTCCTGTTCTGCCTGACATGTGAAACTTTGATATGATCTGATCTCACTGTGATGCGAGAACGATGCCCCGCTTTGAACGTGACAGAGAGAACGCGCCATCGTTCATGCTCTTTCACCACAGAGCACTTCTCCACGTTTTAAAAGGCGGCGTCGCAGCTGATTTGTTTATTTGCATGGCGAATGTATTTTTAAATGCACAGAGTATACACATGCATGCGTGTGCTGTAAGCCTGTCACTGACAATATGCCCGGCTGCTAAGTTATGCATAGACAGTGCTTTTTTTTTTTTTTTTTTTTTTCTCCTCACTGCTAACATAGAGTCAGTTCTCGGTTGATCCCACCTGTCAACAATGATCAGCGAGCCTTTTAGCGTCATTTAACCACATAAATCTCAAGCTCTCATATTGCCTTGCTTTTCAGTGGTGTCATTGATACCAAAAGGAAAAACGTCTTTTGTTGTTATTGTCGAGCTCAGCATGGGCTTTGTGAACATTGAATTTGGATACTGTCGGTTAACCTCTCCTTTGTTGCACCGTTGCATTGTTCAACTTATACTGTGCACCCAGCTCCGATCATTTGTCTTTTTCTATGCATACACTCATCACTCACGCTCAATTTAAACATGCATCCATCACTTATTTGTGACAGCCCGAATATGCTCCTGCTCTGGAGGTAATATTTATATGTCACCTGGAAGTGGCTTTTTCGGCACAATAATGAACTGCTTTAACTGCTGCCTAATATACATAAGATGATCAGTCCAATAACAAGTGCTGCCATAATACAGCTTTGATATCGTTCCTTATCATTCACGCTTTTATGTTAGTTCTGTCTAGTCTTTGAGAATGTTCACTCCACTGTTTTTTTCCTGCGCCTCTCTCAAAAAATACATCTTTATTATTACCCTGGAAAGGAATGTAAATCAGATTTATTTAAATAGTGTGCTTGACTGGCGGTAGCGTAGCACCAAAAATCTTGTTGTTTTTCTCACAACACCATATGGCATAAATCAGTCCGATTCACATATGTTTATATGTTTTCATTACCACTGGAAGCTGCACATGATGTATTTGTTTATTTTTGCAGCTTCTAATCAAAGAAGTGAAAAGCAGCTTGCTATATGCTCAGGCTGGAGATGGTTGGAACATGTGGTGTAAGATAGATTAGTGCTTTTGAGGCCATAATTGATAAATGCCCCGCAGAAATATTGGTTGAGGGTGGCACCTTGCATCTCCCTCAGAAATAGCAGCTTGGCAATTAGAGGTAAACAAAAGCTGAAGCTGTGAAAAGTGACTCCCCTGCCTCCTGGCCCAATCCCCACTCCCCTCCCCTCCAACGCTAAGCCAAACAACACAACATGTTGTTTTCACCATTTTTATCAGCCATCAGCATCAATGCTATGGTGAGATTGAGTGAAGGAAATCTCTTGGCGATATATTTTTCCTCGATATCACAACCACTGCGAGGCACTTAATAAATGTATGTGGTTTGAGTGCATTATTTATTTATTTGATTTATTTAGCAATGCTTTGCCCTCACTCGAATGCACTGTCTGTCTCCTAGCCGGTGCTGTGACAAGAAAAGCTGCGGAAACAGGAACGAGACCCCTTCAGACCCTGTGATCATCGACAGGTAAGAGCAGTCTTCCTCTGGTGGGAATGAGCGAATGGATGGGTGAGTGGCTGAGAGCAGATGCACCTCAGAGCACCTCAGAGCACCCTATAGCGCGTCGGGTGGGACCTGTGGGCCACGTGAGGTGTGAGAGCGCACCAGGGGTGTCTTTCCCAGGTACCGGTGCACTGAGGGGCGGTCACCACCTGGGCAGGGTTTGTTCAATCACAGGTGGTTCAATCGCTAGAGGATCATGCTGGGAATACTCCTAATTAGCCTAGGCAACTTCTCATTCATTTGGCTGGCTTCCCTTCTTTGTTTACGGCCGTGCTGCTTACACTGTCAATAGTTGTTTTTCCATTGACTGTTTCCTCCTCTCAGGTTAGCAGTGAGTGAGGTGCCATTAACTTTAGGAGGGTTTTATGTCCGCTGCTTTGTTGTGGAGCTTTAGGGAAGTTACCTACATCTGCTATAATTACGGCGCGTCTATCACTCCCTAAAAAGACAGGATGAAGCGGTCCATTTTTTAGTTTCACCTGACAGTCTTTAAAGATAAAACACAGATAAAAAGGTGAGGCTGAGGGGGAGGGCGGGGAGGTGTGCGAGCGCGTCTCAATGTAACTCTCGCCACGTCGCGGGGAGAGACAGCAATGCTAATGTTTGACTAGGCGGAATCACTGTTTGCTTAGCGGAGAATGCCCGGTATCTGACAGAGGGGACAACTCTCTTATTAGTAATCAAATAGGGCTGAGCAGTTGTTGCTGCCACTCCACTCCAGCGGCTTCTCATGCATCAGGAAGTAGGAGCCGGCTGCCCTGGGAGCCTGGATGGATTACCAGAGCTACTGCTGTCTGAACTCTCGCACAGACACAGATGCCCCCACCCCAACTGCCACCCCTCCATCCATGTGCTGAATGTTTAGATACATCCACGCTAGGCCATGCAAAACACAAGCTCACAGACTCTCCCTCGCTGTATATGTTTGTTATCATCCCGCCTCAAAGCAACACATAAGCGCAGAACTTGAGACACCTACTTTGCCTAATTTCCGGCGCTTTCATGTTTTCTTTGTGTCGCTCCGATGCCTTTGACTGTTTAGAGTTTCGCGCCGTATTGTTCTTCAATCTGCATGGACAAAACATGTAACATAAGTACAATAAGCAAAATGAACGCGTGAAGAATTAAAGTCAAGAAGAGGGGTGGGAATAAAAGGCGAGGGGAGGAAAGAGGAGCGGGTGGATATTGTAAGCTCAACTGGCTCAGGGAGGGCTCGGATTTTCATTGTGACAAGGCTGAATAGGCGCAGAGTATCCCTTTCCGTGCACAATGAGCGGCTCTGTTGAAACACAAAAGCATATGTTCCTCATTAGACCCTCCCATTGTCTCCATGTCGTAAGTATGAGGCCGTGAGCGCGCACAGACCCACACAGGTTCCCAGTGACTGCAGGAGGGGCGCAGCCAAAAGGTTGCGGGGTTTAAGGGAGAGTTACCGACCGGACCAGAGCACCCTGCCTGGATGTGGGGATATTTACCGCAATTACCTGGCTATTCCCCGTGTGCATATGGCTTTTAGTTAAGGCCTGCATGTTTTACAGTCATTCCTGTTACATCTGTCATTTTCTCATGCACATCATTACAGGCACCTGTGCTGCGGTCGCTGCTGGCAGAAACTGATTATTTCCAATTGAGTAGAACAGAGTTGAGTGACATAAACCTAGAGGAGAAGTTTGATTGTTGAATCAGGCATGTCTCATCTGTCTACAATTACAGAGTGAAAAAGCGGCGAGGACTGCCACATTTCTTAGAGAAACAGTAGCATGGCCGAACCTTAAGAAACAGATTTGGAGTGAATCATTGATGGCGCTCATTCGCTGTAACATTTTCCCAGATGGTAAGAGGGGAAAGCGCACACAGCTAGCTGGCATCTAGCAAGACATTAACTGGCGTTCCCATGGATCTGGCATATCCAACGGAGTTTGGGAAACTTATCATTCCAAATGTGTCCTATTTTCCTGCGGTCAAGCCAGACATCTGTTTACCCTATTTTCTCTTGGAGTTTTGATACAGACTTTCACTCAGATTTCTGAAGAGGAAGGATTCTCTTAAAAAAAGAAAAAAGAAAAGTTGGGTTAGATATAGGCCCAACAGCTGTCACAAAGTTTCAGCACTGCTCTGCCCTCTAAATATTTCAACACATACATTTGATGCCCCTGGATTATTCATACTCATTTTTGGATGAAGAAAGAGCCTATTTTTGTTGCATTGGCTTGGTTGTTATTACTCGTGACTTGCATTTCAACATGTTTTTGCTTCCATTTGCTATCCGCTGAAAAACTGTTGTCCTTTAATTGCGAGTTTACTTTGCTTTTCCAAATGTGAAAATAAAAACTGCAAAGCTGCTGTAATTAATAAAAGTGAAGTTGTTTTTAATAGAGACTAATTGCAGCACTTTTCCTATGGCCACAGCACTTTCTTGGAGCGCTATAATCATCTTCCCTCTCTATAAATCCTACACGGCTACACATGTCACATTTATAAGTTAATGGTGCCTTAAAGTAAGTGTGGGTGTAGGTTTATTCACTGGGTAATTTGAGTCTTTAGAATTATAGTGATGAGCTTCCCAATATCGGATGAAATAGATTTCCCATTTACAGTGTATGTGTAACCAAACATAACTCAATTTGCTATGACTCTGCTGGCCTGCTATCTGTCTCCTCTCCTCTTGCATATTGACGTTGTCTTCTCTTGTGTGAAAGATTAGATACATTGTTGGGGCTTACACATGGATTTTGTAATAAGACGGCACATGTTGTTGAAAGAGGAGAGAAAATGACTCATTCGGCATGTCAGGGATCAGAGGTCACTTTTAGAGCGAGAAACGGCAGCAATTTATGCACTCGCCCAAGAAAAAAGTGAGTGATTTCTGCTCAAATATGATTTTTTTTCGTCTAATACGTGTTCATACGGCTTAACGTGCTGTGTCAATTTACACTGCCATTCAGGAGCGGGGCGGACGGGCTGATCCGAACGCGACTCGGGTCCATTTGTACCGGCAGCTTTGGGCGCTCTCTCTTTCACATCCTGTCCCAAAGGCCAAAGAGCACTGACCTCCGGAGAGAAGCCGAGCCACTGAATAATTCATGACATTGACTTGTTTCCCCCACGATTTCTCCCCTCCTCCTGTGTTTTTTTTGGTCAGCACACCAGACATTGCAGTGGGAGTCTTTTGATTGGTTTAGCTCATTTATAAAGGCCTCGCTGCACCTGTTCGCCTGTTAATGCAATTACAATGCGACCTAATGTAAATTTTGCTTAGCTTTCCGTTATGTCCCTCATTAGCGCGCAGTGTTATTTCCTAAATGACTTTGCGTTATCGTTCATTTGCCGAACACCTACGAGGTCATTTCCCAGAGTGCACTTGACTTGTTGTCAAGTTGTTTACCCGGAACAAAAGCGCACAGCTTCAGAGGCGGCGCGCGCGTGTGGCTTCCCACTCGGCCTTCGAAGAAACAAATCGGAAAACTCCCATCTGGTTTTTGCAAAAGCGTGATTACCTCCAAAAGCTGAACAAATGCCAGTATTTATAAGGTCAGCCCTTTATGCGGAAATGTGATGTAAATGAGAATCAGCGAAAGGGGACATTAAACAAAATTAAATTCATTGTCTCCTTTAATGTCATTTACATTTTTGGCTAAGCCCCGGACTGTCAAAGCGGATTTCTAAAACCATTTTAATTGCGCATCAGCATTGGAAAGAAGGGGGTGTGTTTCTGCGAAGCCGCCATCGTGATAACCTGTGAAAGGGAAGTACCTAATGTTTTCACTGCATCTGAGCAATTAAGTTGGCACTCAGTAGGTAGTGTTAATCTAGCTTTTTACACCCAGCGTCCATTAGGAGTGCCACGCAACCTGCAGGTCACTGTTGTTGTGATTGAGAGCTGATTGCTGCAGGTGTTCTTCCTGGGTTTTCACAGCGAGCGCCTGGAATAGAATCGTTTTTTTCTTTCTTTCTCACCCCTCAGCTTTACAGTCAGTCATTTAAGGCTGTCAACTTCTATAGGAAGTGTTCTCTATTTACACACATGCGCCCGGGCAACGCAAACACCTGCCCGCGCCATTTTTTATTTGCGTCTTTACAACGTGTCCATCTCAGCGATTTTTTATTTATGGCCATGTTTGCTGTAATTCATAACACAGATGTGAATTTTTCCCTTTTTTTCTTCTTTCGGACTCATTGAGAAAGGAGTGGAGAATTAGCTGGCCACCCCCGACTTGAGTCAATGTGATGTTTGAGTGAAGCCTGTCTCTCTGCGCCAAGGTAGAAAGAGCAGGAAGTGTTGAGAGCGAAAGCTGTACTTGGCAGCTCTCCCTTGGCTTGCACTTGCCGAAAAATGAAACCCAGACGTCGACCGTGGCCCTAGAGCCAGAACCTCCTTCCCTGCTCTCCAACATCCAGGATTGGGTAATACTGTTCACTAAGCAAAACATTACCTCAAATTATTCTCGCCCTGTTTTCTATTCCCTCCTCCCTCGTGTCGGTTTTATCGCAGTTTGTAAATGTCAAGACACGTACAAAGACGCACAGTATAAATGATATTTTCCAAATTATGCTCACATGTTTGGGTTCACATGAGTGGCGGCTGAACGTAACGTGGTGCCTGACGGTCCCGGGGGAGAGCCACCTCACTGGGGTAGGATTCCCCAGTGGCATCAGCTAATGGCAAGACTTGACAACAGCAGAGAAGCCGGGGGTGTTGTGTTTTACTAGCGCTGAGCAGGGGTGATGACTTTAACATGTGTGCAGGGAAAGACGGAGGTTTGTGTGTGTGTGTGTGTGCGTGTATGTGTGTGTGTGCGTGTGTGTGTGGCGTGCTAAAGAGAGAGGTGTGCAGTACGAAAAGAGTGGCGCGGGCCAACAGAGCGGCGGATTCGGCTCCAGCTTGACGGCAGTGAAAGACGAAACATGGTTCCACATGTGTTGAGAAAGAGCAGTCCATCTGTCCATGGAGACAACCCTCCCCCCCACCACCTCTTCTCTTCCTTCTCTGCCTCTCATGCCCACCCCTCCCACCCCTCCTCCCCCTCCTCCCCCCCCCTCACCCCTCGCTCTACTCCCCTGGTTCACTGCTGACAGAAACAAGGCCAGAGCTGGGCTGATGGGATGAATGCTGGGCCAAGAGCAATACTGGCCCTTGCATCCTTGTACACACTCAACACAAATGGTTTACTGTGGGTTTAGGCTTCTGCGTTCCCTGTGTTACTCAGCACTGTCTGACAGTGAGGGAAACGCATGTCAGGCAATATTTGACAATTATTTCAAGTTTAGACAATGAAACGAGCTATTGCGGTTTGTTCCATGTCTGCTGCAGTGAACTGTGTAGAAAATGTGAAAAATTTAATCAGATGTGAATAAAACATGGCACTTGCTCAAATATTTAGCACCTCTCTTTTATAATTAACTTTGTGGCTGTTTTGAGGATGTTGTTTGGTTGCTTAAAGCATTAATAACGCAAGCTTTGTCAAACAGCTCCTGATTTTGCAAATCACATGTAGGTCACTTAGTCTTTGTTTGGATTTTTTTATCTTTATAAAAAAAAAAATGCTTCTTTCTTTCTCTTGGCAGGTTCTTGTTCCATTCAATCCTTATTAGGTTTCTCCTAATTGTCAAACAAACTGTTGGGTCAACCTCAGTCGTATCTGGCCGTAAAACAGCACATTAGGCCCGGTGAGGGATATATGTGGTATTTCATCGGAGACGCAGTAATGCTGGGGTTTTATGGTTAAGTACCAGTTCACGCCCACACCATTTGTTTCACATTAGACTGGAGGTTTTGTAAATCAGATCAATATGTGCGCTGAGATGTGATTCCTTGTCTGGATCTTCCAAGTTGTTCTTTTCCTCAAGTATTTTTCTTAGGGGACTGCTTGTCGATGCACACTCTGCCGCTGCCCCTCCCCTCAGTCAGGCCCTCCTACCAACCCACCTCAATCTATTTCCATTTTCTGAATGTAGCAATTTGTAGTGTGACACAGCTGAGATTAGGATGGGAAGCAGTCTGAAGATTTCATCGGACATGGTCCTGCTCCCGCTGGTGTGAGGTCACAGGACAAAGACGGGGGAATTCGGTGATAGGGTCATCAGTTACCGGGGGAAACGAGCTGGTCTGCTGGCTGCTCTGCTGGCCCCAGGGGTGCCTGGGATGTATCGGAGGAGAAGCCCCTGAGAAAGAGCCCTGAACCAGTGTCATTTATTAAAAGTGACAAGTTATTTCTAACTATAGCTCTGTTTTTATTGTTTTACAATGCTGTCATTTGGAACAGTGCTTCTCTGTTCACCAATCACTAGCAGGTGAAAAATGAACGATGTGACCTGCTTTTTACATGGACACAAGCTGGTGACACACTATCATGTGCATCGCTGTGTTTAAGCCAAACCAACGTGTTGTGTCCATAAAGATCAGCTCCACGATAAGTGTTTGAGCATAGTTCTGTGGGACATTTGTTCAGTAAATGAAGAACAGCTTACAGTATGAATGTGAAGCTGACCTCTATATAATCAAATCCAGAAGTGCAACATGAACATGACCACAGAGTGTTCCCTGCACCAGCGCTGCGCCTTCAGTTCTGTTTGACTGCTTGGCTCTCATTCATTCCTTAAAAAAATAACACAAGATTAATGCTAATAATGGAATATTTATTCAGTGTTTGACCAGTGCTCTTCATGGAGGGTCAGTGAGGTACTCCCCCTCTTCTTTACCGCCTGGCCAAACTGTGTTAATGATATATGACAGAAATTTCCGTGTGCTGGTTCAGTGGCAAGAAAGGTCCTGGCTAGTCTATATCAATCCATCTGACTTATGTTCCCATGTCTTGAATTACCGCTTGATGGAAACCTGCTGCGGGCTCCTCTTGCCAATTGAAATCAGATCTCCTCCACAGCCTGGTGTGATATTGATCCATATTCAACACCCAGGCTGCCGATCGATCACGATTGATTTACAATAAAAAACACTCCTCTGCTTGTTCAGCACTGCAATCAATACTTTAAAGCAAAAAGGGAAAAATTTAAAAAGAAGAAAAACTGGACAGTGCTTGTGACTGACCAGAATTTATATAAAGTGACTAGGTTTTTCATTAGGGCGTTTAAGTGACCAGCCCTTGACCAGAGCTGGAGCCATGACGCTGAACAACGATCCTCTCCTGCCATGCAAGACAAACCAATAAAAATGGTTTTATGGGATGACACTTCTATAAGGACTCATTTATTGAGGGAGGTGTGTCTGTTTCATTGGGAAACTCTCAAAGTGTCACATCAAATCTGAGGGAAAATTTAAACAGAATGTTTCAAGTGTTGAATCAAGTTGGAGCACTTAAGCTCGATTTCGGCATGTTAACACGCTGACATGACTTCCTGTGGTTTTGATCATCATTTATCTGCTTCTTTCGCTCTGTACTGGGGCTCGGCCTAGCCACCCCCTCATCATTAGCGTCCGCTGTAATGTTGAACAGAGTGGAGACCACTCTGGTCCAGCCCAGATCCACTTTTCTCCCTGTCACATCTTAGTCCTAATCTCTCGGACTTCCTCCTCTCTGCCAAATAAGCGTTCCCATCCAGCAGGTCCCAGCGCTGACCAGGGCTGCCAACATCTGAAAGTTATTATCCCCAATCTCTGACATCCAGGAGTTTACAGTTATATAATGATGGGGAAAACCACATGTCCCCAGAGGCACTGAACATTTTTGAGATGCCTCCCCATCTGTTTTGGGGGAGCTGCCCATTTTGGGCAAAACTCAGAATGGCAGGCAGGCAGATTTTTTGTAATCTTTTATTTTTGAGTAGGCCAGTCTGGGAGTCATTATATGGGGCGATAAAGCAAATCCAATTGGGTCAGGTTCCCCTCCGCACAGTGCTGGTGGCACCAGCTCTCTGCGCCTCAGCTCTCTTCCCTCACTGTGTATGTGCTGCTTGTTTGTTTGTCCTGGAGAGGCTGGACGGGGGACTAATGCGAGCCCGGGGGCCAGCCAGGTCGGAGACGCCGCTAAACCCGAGCCGCCTGCTGCAGAGCTGCTCCGTGGCCACGGCCGAAGCCTTGTTTGGACTGCAGCTCCGGTTTGCTTTCTTAGAGGAAGCTGAGCTGCTGTAATCACTGAGCCTGCGCTGGGGTGGGGAGCGCAGCCGGGACCAGTGGGAGTGATGACATAGGTCCTCTGAGGCCTGGCCTGCTCCACCCCGCTGCTCTTAGCATATTTATTTTCTCTTCTCTTGTATGCTTTAACTCACACCATATTATGTTGGGACTTATGCATGTGCATCTGCAGATGTTAGGTGGTGCAAAGCGTAATGGTGTAGGCCTTGTTTTTACTAATAACGTCAGGGATTAGTGACTTGCTGCCCACGGTGTAATCTTTATTAGTTTGTAAAGCGTACTCTTTACTTATGGGGCAGTTACATTGATGTGGAGAAGTGAGGAAGTGACATTACCTGTCTCTGGGGAATAGTCTAAAATGTATGTCAGACAAATTGCAGTCATTAAGTTTTCTGTTAGTGTAGTTTCAGGCAGTATTTTACAGAATTAGATGTGATCCAAGGCCCATTTGACCCTCTGGGCAGTCCTCAAAAATGTTTTATTCAACATCAGCACTGTTGTGTTTTGTTACGTTATTGAAATAGGTTGTCGATTCGAATAGAGTCAACCTGGTGGGCCAATCTCGTTGTGGCCAGTGAAGAGTGAAAGCCATCGCAGCAGCATAGGCTCAGAACACACACAGAGATTGGACAAGGGGGGCAGTGTGAGTGAGAGTGCCTTCTCCAGATGGAGATCCCAGATACAAGAGGAAATGTCCGGGCCATTTTCCAGGCTTTCCATAATGGGAATCTACCCCTTGCTTGCTTATTAAGTTGTGCACACAAGGAGGAGTGAGGACAGAGATGGAGAGCGATGGAGATAAGGCCAGGCAAGGCTCACGCGTCACCTCTGTGTTGTAGTGTCAAGCAGCTCCTGTCGGAGGAAGCATAGGTTGTGTGGACAGATGATTGTCAAAGCAGCACATTGATATAAGGGCAGGCTGTTTTGTCTTTCAGCCACACAGGCGCGTGATAGTGGTTGTTTTTGTTTTCTGTAGAAGAGGGAGAAAGTATGGCTCTCAGGTCAGAAGGGGCAGAGCAGAGGTCACAAGGTTCCAGCCTTGTTGGTACCTGAGTAACCTCACATGGCTTAGCTATTTTTCTGGCTCCTGAAATGACGGTGATGCAGGGAGGAGGGGCTGTAGGCTGGGCAGAGCCATCTATCAGTAAGCACAGAGACATGCAGACAGCATGGCAGCTACTGCAGCTAAACAGAGTGAGACAGATAGGCACAAGTCTCTCATACGTAACACCAGGAGCTCCAGCAGACAGCCCTGAGTGTTATGGATGCTTGACATTGACCTCTTCCACACAGATGGGAGATTTATCAAGGCTCTAGGACAATGGTGTTTTTATTTGTAAATTATTTAGTTCACTGGGTGAAATGCTACTTCCCCCAGATAACAGTTGCCTTTTATACAGTATAAAAAACACTCATTTTTATTCTGGCATTTTGTCTCCGTCAGCTGTTTTCTGAGAATCTTACCATTTAGATGATCATATTTCCAAACCGTCAGCTCTATCAAGTCCCATCTAGAGGAGAGGAAAATGCTATGAAGCCTACATTTTTCTGGAAGAGAAATATTTGTGTACAGATAGGCCTGTCATTTTGTGAAGCAACATTCATGATTCTTTTATTGGTGCTCAGCCATCACCTCTGTCTTCCTCTGTGGAAAAAAGGCTAGTCTACAAAGTGGCTTTTTGTCGTTTGAAAGAAGTAAACTTCATCAGGTCGACGGCGAGGTGTGCTTCCCATGTCACTCAGCCGAGCTCTCTCCTAATGAAATGCTGCATACAGATTTGTGCCTGCGGGCTCAGGGGGATAAGACTGTGGTAACAGAATGAAACAAACCCTTCCCATTGGCTTCACTCACACACAAACACATACACACTCTCTCTCCTGCTGGAGAGCATCCATGTGAGGAGATCCAAATCTGCAATTTATTCAAATATTGATATTTCTACTTGTCAGGAGAAAGGTGCCTTGAAATTTCCTCTGAGTACTCCTGTCAAAAAATAGCAGGAAATATGTCAGATAATTCATAAATGGAGTTCAGCGTTGCAAAGTCAGTTGGGAACTGCAAAAAATATATGCTTGTCAATGAAGAATAGGAGCAATATTACAGAGGCTGCTGCTCATTCTTCCATCATGTCAAGCAAACAGCCTTGGCAGCCCATAAGTGTGCTCCCGGACGTGGTGTATTTGTGTATGCATGTATATTTGTACATGTCCAGCTCAGCGTATATGTGTATGTATGTGTGTGTGTGTGTTTCCACTATGTTGTGGCTCCTACTTAGATTTGCTTGTTATTTCTTTCTATCACGACACCTTATTTCCCATTTTGAAGCATCCAATGAAAACGTGTCCTTTCTGCAGAGGTCCGTAACCGGACGCTGGCCTCCATGTGGTTTGAATTAGGGCCCCTGAAACTGTGAAGGACGCCTCGAATGACGTGAGCCACTAGCAGACCAAATTCCATTCTGCTGAATGGTGGAGAAATGAGCACTCCAGAATCCTCCGAGATTTTTTGGCTGGGGTCGACAGCGATTAAAACAGGGCGGAAACCAATAACTCAATGAATCATGAGGCAGCGTCCCATGAAGGCTCTTGCTGCTCTGTCACACCCGTATGAAAAACCAAATAAGTCGGACTTGGCTGATTTCTTTTCTCTGTGTTTTTTTTGTGCTTTTCATTTATGAGATGTTAGTTTACTTAAGATATTTGTAGAATAAAAGCCACCAACAGGGTAGCTGTTAGCTCCTCTCTGACAGTCAGAGTGGGCTTCTGGATGATGCATGGCTTGACCACGTTGTGCCAAGGCTCCACAGAATAGGCCTACACATATCTGTTGCGGTCATGTGATGCCATAGTTCAGAGCTGCTGATGAGATGCAGTTTGGCACAGCTTGGGACCCATCTGGGAGATGCAGATACGCAGACAGGAGAAGTATTTTATAGCAATGCATCTGTGCTCTTCAAGAGCTATTTAGCATATGCTACTATACCAGAGAATATAGTTTGCATTTGCCAGCTGCAGATTAGTCTTAATTTAAAAAGAAAAAAAAATGAAAAAAAAATGTCAGAACAGTTATTTTATGTAAATGAAGAAAGGTTTGAACATTTTCCCTAATTGACTGTTTTAATGTTAATTATTTGACTGAAGTAGCCATGGTTAACAGAGGGTGTTATTAGTTTTGGTCTTGTCCACAGTGTCTCTATCAGGACAGTGCAGCTGCCAGGGCAGGCCGGTTTGTTTCCCTTAGTCCTGGCTGCTGCTCTAACTCAAGTGGCTGATGTGTGGGGCCATCCTGGGCATGGCAGGCACTTGACAGTCCATGCAGCATGTCTACCACAGGACATCTCCACACAGTGTGTCCACAGCAGGGCCAGCGCTGTCATCTGGTCCACTATGGACCAGTGCTCTGCTGACAGTGAGAGGGTAAACGTTTACCACCTCAATCCCCCATTAACTCGGTGAAGGCACTTCGATCCTCTGTGAAAATAATGATATTGATTAGAGCTTGGCTCTACAAACGAAATGGTTGCAACTAAAAGGGAAGGGCCTCTGCATTAGAATATGGGATTTTCGAGGATAAGGGAGTGTTTGGATCTTGTTATATTTCCCTTCTCCCACTGCCTGCTTTGCCCCACCTCTGTGTCTCTACTTCAGCTGCATTTTTATGTGTGCATCTTGTGTCTCCTAAGATTAACTTTAGCTATCCCCACAATCAAACAACAAATGACAACATCATTGCTCGTGCCTTTCAAAATGCAACACTAAAAGTGGGTTGTAGCTGCATTAACTTGCTACAAGCCCCTAATAGACCCTTGTGGCTTTTGTATGTCTCCCCTCCTTGTGTGTCTGGGGCTGTCACACACCCCCCAGAGCAGCGAAGCTCGCTGGAGATCAGGAGCTCCCTGTCGGAGGTGCTTTGTCACGTAGCCCAGGGAGCGTGGAACTCACCCAGAGCTGTTGAACAAACACAAGCGCAGGGGCTGTCAATAGCAGCTCTGCAAACTAATTGCCTGTCAAATGAACCACCCTCGTTAAGCCGGCCTCACACACGCGTACACACAGTCATGTGCGCGAGCTGTGACATTCATACTCACACACCACACAGCCAATTTGACTCAAAGACTAGTGATACCTTGTTAAAAGAAAAGACACTCAAGTGGCACTTCTCTGTTTGCCTTCTTGTTTCTCCAATCGTTACAGGCTTGTGTAGAGCAGTCACTGTGAGACAGCCTTTTTGTTATTATTAAGAGGAACATGATATCATATAGAATGACTGATGTAATTCAGACTCACTATATGAGCTATAGTGTGATCTTTCAGATTTTAAAACCACTCATTAGATGGTAGAAGAGCTGCAATGCCAAATGTTTTTGTTTTGGTGTTTGTTTGCTTTTTTCTGCAGTCATTAGGCGCTAGCAGTGGAGTGCCCAGCGCCTTGTCTGGGTGCCTGTAACAGGGCTGTCGGATTGACACAGCTGGGGAGAGCAGCTTGAGGCTGCACGCTCAGGAATACACAGGGGTGTTCAAAGCCCCTCTCTGAATCCTGATCAGAGCGCTGCCCCGGCCAACTGATGGCCTATTAAATATACATGCGCAGAGGTCAGAGCTGGAGGTCCCGGCTTCCTCCCAGCCATGTGCACTTAAGCGGAAGGGCTGGGCAACAATAAAACCTCCTCTCGCTCCAGCGAGCTCTCCCCTGACACCCTCACCTCCAGTGTGTACGTCAAGTACAGTGCTCACCTAGCGCTATATTACAACTGCCTTTGTGAAAAGGCCAAATGATGCATTTTTAACACAGTTATTATAAATTTATATTCAATAACTCCAACGACCACACAGGTGTCTATCTGGCTCATATTTTTTGTGTTGTCGCTGATAAATAGCCTTATGTGGAACACAGACATAGTGGATGTCTGATCTCTGTAGTTTTCCAGCGGCTGAGACGTGGAGGAAGAGACCCATAATGGCCAGTCATGATTAACATATTCAGAGTGACACTGTGTGTGTTCGTTCGTTAAGCCCAGTCTGTCTGACTAATGAAGTGGAGCGGCAGTTTATCAATTAAGCCAGCACTGAGCCGTTTGTGTGGGAAATATCTCTGTGGCTGGATGCCCTTTCACCTCCACCGGTGTCCAACAAGCCACAACTGTGACAATGACAGCAAGGTACACAAGTGCAATCCGCTCAACAGGATTTGTGCCTGCCATCCAGCAGCCACAGCAGAGGAGAGGCTGAGGGTGATGCTCTAATAGGATGATGACAAAAGGTGTCCACAAAGTCACATCAGGGCTTTTCAGCATCTTCTCAGTTGGCATAGATCATAGCAAACAACTTAGTACTGTCTCTATTAGAAGAAGCCCTCCCTTGCCATTATCTTTCCCCCCACTGCTCCTTCCTCCATTTCACATTGTTTGTGTTCATTAAGACATGGGCGACCTGCCTTATCCACACATCAGACCTGGCTCTCAAGAGTAATTGCGATGGTCTCACGGAGGATAATGTGGTTTAAACTCAGTATAGCCTGTCTATTAGGAGAGACATGATGGCAACCACAAATAATAAAGAACTATTTATTCCTCTCTCTGTGACGCTAACTAGGTAACATATCAAGGCGGCGCAGCTAAGGGTCTCCCTTACTGTCAGATATGGCACCCTTCATCCATTCCCAATGGCCCTTGTCTCGACATCTCTGCTCTTCATTTTCTACATAAGCTTGGTCATAAATGCGCACACACTTCATATATATTTGATAGTTAATATTTATCCTCGCCAGGGAAGTGCACTTTACATGTGGTAACATACGATTACCTGCAATTCTTACAGCAAAGAAACAAAATCGATATGGATATATAATTCATGACAGAGGGGCTATCAGTTTTTATGGCTCTCTATCCAGCCTCATTAAAGTTTTATCGTAATTGACTGAAAGCAAGAGTTTTTAAGGCATGTTTCTCCCTCACCCTCTACCTTTAATAATTAAGTTAAGTTTAATTGGTTGTATTTTGAAGAACCTAGTGTATGATAGCAGTTTCCAAAATTCAAAATCATGAATTATAGAGTAATATGTTCTGCATTAACCTGTCAGTTTGTATTTCTTTTAAAGCAGTAATGTATGCCCCTGTTTCTAAATTGCAAGCAAAAAATATATAGCAGGGCTGGTCCCTCAAAAAAAGCCTTTTTATGTCTTTCATTGGCCTGTTAATGTAGTGACATGACGCTGTCACTCAGAGCACTCTTGCCGAGCGGCAGGGCTGAATCGACTCCTCTGATTGGTGGTCAACT